TCTTCTCCATGTGGCGTTAGGCAAAGGGCTTCTAAATCAGCTGGTGTAGTTTCAACAGAGGTGAGTCTTGGGGCTTCTCCTTTTCTCAAATTAACCTCAGGCCAGGGAAAGCAGGTGAGAGAGAAGCATGTACACAAAGGAGGGGAAAGGTGTTTGCTAGCTGAAGGCATCTTTGGGCTTCTCTACTCAGAGCATTTATTTTGCCCTTGTGATTCCCCACTGAAGTTTGTGGATCCTTTCCCCAACATCCTCCTCCTCCAGGGTCTCTCCCATCTTTTGCAGCCATTGTCATGAGATTTTTTAGAGCAAGGAAAGCCAGGTATTGTTTGCTCATCTCATGAGAAGGTGCTCTGAGAAGTTTGTGAAATTTCGTAGTTCCCTCTGCAATACCACAGAATCATCACCTTGTGCTTATTTAATGGAGTATATAGAAGGCAGAAAAAGAAAAGCCCCAGGGAAAAACTGTGCAAAGCAAGGAAAACAGAAGGAGAAGTCTCGGCAAGGCAACAGGTTAAAATCCTCACATTTGAGGATCCTCCCCTTCGTTTGCTTGGCTCATGCATCTTTGTTGCCCCTGGGCAGCAATTCTGGGTGCTGTTGTGTTGTGGGATCTTGTGGGCAGCCAGTCGGCCGCTGCATAAACAGATCAATGGCCTAATCCAGCATGGCTCTCTTTTCTCAAGACGGTGGCGTGGCAACCTCCCTCTGCCAGGATTGTCCTTCCAAGCATTGGTTGGTGACGTAAGTAAAGTGCACATCGGATATGGACGCAGATGGAAAGGAAGGCCAGAAAGAAGATCCCTGTCTTTTTTGGGGGTTTAGGTGCCTGTGCATTCAGGATCTTGGAGGCAGAGGGAGAAATCCTTGAGACTTTGGTAGTAGGCAGCATATAGAATGAAGTATGTATGTATTTATGTATGTATGTATGTATAAATAAATAAATAAATAAATAAAACCCACTTTCTCAAATGCTCATCAATGGTCAACTTTTTAGCTTGCTTCTGCAGTCGTGCTTTGGAGAGCCACCATGATGACTAGCAGTGCAGAATCACTCCAGATGTGTAAACAGGAAGTCAGCCTAAGGATTGAGAAGGCAGTAGGGGGCGGGGAAAGCCAACAAGAAGAGAAAAGGCAGAAAAAGGAAGTGAGAAGCGGAAGCGATGGTGGCAACATTTTGAAAGCCCTCTCATGCCCCATCTGATCCTCATCAGCCAGTGGGATTTCCCAGTCTGGCCTGATACAAATTTCCACATACCGGGAGAGACAAAGCCATCTGCTTTCTGTGATGGGCTGATGGGAAACTCTCGACCACTTGGAAGAAAGAAAGCCATACTGCTGCCGTGTTGTTCACCAGAGCCATCTGGAGCAGCCGTGGGTTGCAGGTGGCGGGTCCTGCTTGCTAAATCGGGACCCGCCAGGATGTTATGCAATCCTGCAGCAGATGAGCAACAGCTGCAACTCCCAAGTGTCTGGCAGCAGCGACAAGAGCCTTCTCCCTCCCTCGGAATTAGGCGATCAGCCTTCCCGAGCTGTCTTAAGTCATACAAGAGGATCCTGTACCAAAAAGTTGCCATGTGGAGTGGCCGCACTCTGGGTTTCAGGGAGCCAGCTGTGCCCTCCTCCAGAGCCCTCTGCCCCTCCAACCCACTTTTCCATTCCCTTTCCAGGAAAGACACTCTTGTGTGGCCATGGATCATGCTCAGGGCTCACTGGGCTGCGACTTGGGGCGGGAGGGGAGGAGACCTTAGCTTTCCCTGCACCAGTGATTGTTCTCTTTCGTTCTTCTGCACATCTTGGGGTAAGCCTTTTTGGCTGCGATCCTGTTGTCATTCACTTGTTAAATTTGCCACGATTACTATTATCATTATTATTTCTATACCACTCCAAAGCTAAAGCTCTCTGGGAAGCTTGCAACATTGCTGAATGCTTAAGAATTGCTTCCTGTAGAATTACACGATTGTGGTGACGCTGATGAGTATCGCAGGCATACACTGATGGGATCTGAGCTAGCAGTGATGGAGCAAGAGAGGGATCCTGGGGTGGTGGACACCTCGATGAAGATGTTAGCCCAGCGCTCAGCTGCTGTGAAGAAGGCAAACTCCACGCTAGGCATCATTAGGAATGGAACAGAAAATGGAGCTGCCAAGATCTGACTTCCCTCATAGAAATCTTTGGTGCAACTTGCCCTTGGAATATTGTGTTCAGTTCTGGCTGCCTTACCTGAAAAAGGACATTACAGAGTTGGAAAAGTACAGAGAAGGGCAGTGCCCCCATGAGGAGTGGCTACAGCAACTGGGACGGTTCAGCTTAGAAAAAGGCAAGTAAGAGGAGCCGTGACAGAGGTTTTTAAACAATGCACGGTGTGGAGAAAGCAGAAGGGGAGACATTTTTCTTTCTCTCCCATAACACTTGGTCCAGGGGGTCATTCCATGAAGGAATGGGGGGAGGGTTAGGACACATAAAAGATAAGACAGATATTTCTTCACACAGCGTAGAGTTGGGCTGCCATGGGAAGTGGTGAAGGCGGCCAATCTGGATGGCTTTAAAAGCGGACTGGAGAGATTCCTGCGGGAGGAGCCTATTGGTAGCTCCTAGCCTTGCTGGCTGCGTGCTCCCTCCTTGAGCAGAGGTGGGATCCCTGCACGGCCCAGTGGCTGAGGAGCTGGGCAGGAGGAGGTCTCGCCCCCTCCTGCTTGAGAGCTCCCGGGGGCAGCTGGTTTGCCACCGTGTGTGCCCAGTGCTGGACTGGACGGGCCTTTGGGCGGATCCAACATGGCCTGTCTTACATTCTTATATTCCTGTGTGCCTATGATTAAGCCCAGGAAGAGCCCTGCTGGATCAGACCAAGGGCAGCTTTCTCTGCCTCGCGTGGCCAACTGGATTTGGAAGTGGGAAGCCCACAGCAGGATGCGGCAGGATAGCATCTCCAGCACGTCGTGTCGAGGGGCAGGTGGGGGCGTGCACATGGTGGGCATGTCGTGAGCGGAGCCGGCTGGTGCCGGAGGTCAGACTAGATGGCCCGGAAGGCCCCTTCTGACTCGCTCTGTTTCTATGTTTTCTATGTTTCTATCTGGTATGATGCTCCTTTCCAGCATGCAGCTCTTTTGCTAAGCAGAGCTGCACCAGCTGCCTCTGCTCTACTGGGCCAGTTTTAAGGTATTATGGTACAAATGCTGTGATCCTTTTTTCTCCCTCCAAGCAGTATCTGTCTCACCCATGTTTCTTTGCTTAATGATCTTCACTGTTACACAAGAGTCTCTGAACATACACAAAGTGAAGTGTTGAACTCTTTCTACCGTTCATTTCCCAAAACTCTCTTTATGAGTCCTTCTGTGCCTCCACCCCGGAGGGGGCGAGCTGTGAAAACGCCTCCACTCCTCCCGTTATACCCCTAATTGGGCTTCCCTCTGGTGTTGGGGATGGGATCCCAGGCCTACCTCCTCAAGGGAACTCCCCATGTCGACACGTCCTCCCTCAAGCTGTAATTCCTCAGTATGGTCTCCCCACTGGCCCTTGGGTTAATCTCCCCCACTGCTACCTCCCGCTGGGTCTCAGGACCCTGAACCGCAGCGGGAGGCTGAGCTGCTTCAAAAACAGGCTCCTCCTTGACATCAGAATCTGAATTGTCAGCTTAACCAGCATGGGGAGTCTCTCATGAGGTGCGCCTGAAGTTTGGCAGGATTTGAACACGTGACAATAAAGCCCTAAACAACTTGGGAATAGGAGACCCAAGAAAGTGGAGGTTCTGCGTGGCCTTTGGCATGGTGGGCCCCCTTGGCAGAACTTTCAGCCTCTGTAAATCAGGCAGGTATGAACACGGTGTTGTTTTGGGTGCTTCCTAACAACAGTATTTCAGGAAGGCTCTCTTGACTGGCCAGCCGCAGTTCTATTGATACCTTGCTTGCAATGTATTTTTCATTCCTTATCTGTTTCTATTGTTCACTGCTTCAGATCTCCATGCCGGAATATGGAGTGCGATATAAATCTTGTAAACAAACAAACAATGCTAATACTAATAACCATGATGACATTGCTGTACTTGCAAATGGTACAGCCCAGCTGAGAGACCTGAGATGGGCGCTTGAAAGAGAGGCATGTGAAATGACTTAAGAATGAGTGAAGATAAGGCCAAGCTAATGTAAGTTAGCAGTGCTCAAGACAGCGCCCCAGAAACAGCAGGAGGCCAAGTTTTAAAATTTGTGAAGCAATTTAGCTACCTTGGCAGTATTATAGATGGAGGTTGGGGGGGGGGGGACAGAAGCAGGATCGGCAAAGCACCTGCAGTTTTCAACAAATATGCTCAGTTTGGAGCACACCTGCTGTGGATTTTAAAAGTTAGTGCCGACTATTTAATGCTGTTGTTGTACCGATTGCCACCTATGCCAGTGTGATGTGGAAGTTTACAACAAAAATTACCCAGAAGATCAATGTCTTTAAGCAATGTTGCCTTATAATTACATATCACATATTGGGATCATATTATGAATGAAGAAGGACTATGAAGATGCGATACCTGAAGACTCTCTGAGTTGATAATAGCATGAAGAATGTGTCTTACTGGACATGTGCTTTATGTGAGTAAACAATGTCCTGCTAAGATAGCGATTAACTGGATACCACTAGATAGTCGGAGGAGGAGAGGAAGACCAAAAAAGACCTGGTGTCAAACATTCCAGAATGACCTAAGAAGTATCAGCCTTGAATGGAAGGCTAAAGAAATGACTGCTGCGTATCGAACACTTTGGAAGACGCTTGTAGCCCGATGTGCTTCGCACAGGACGTAAAGAAGAAGCTATGTATACAGAGGCATACATACAGTCTCTGGTGTTCTGTGTTCTTTCTGTTACTTGCATTTCCGTAAAATTTAAAAACAAGATGAAATGAACCTCATGATGGGACCCGTGGAGTCCAGGGAGATCTATCTCCTTGTTCTATTTCCGCAGTGCAGGGCTCTGTGGTTTTCCTCTTGCTGCATCCTTGCCAGTTCCTCCTCCGAACTACCAGTGAGTCGCGCTGAGTGAAGGAGGCCAGGTCCAGCGTCCCCGCGCTCCTGTTCCAAGGACTCCTGCCTCGCTGCCCATGAAGTCTCTCCTCTCCTTCCTGCTCCCCATGGCTGCTCTGGCTGCTGCAGAGCTGGGCGTTCCAGAGGAAGAAGGTAAGCAGCAAACAGGCCTGTTCTGCAAGGAAACTTTGAGAACAAGGAACTTGGGTAGCCAGAAAAGGTTTCACTATATTTGCATCAGGACTGGATGCAATGGTCAGAGCGGCCGTCCCCTACCTGAGGACCTCCGGATGGCTTGGAATACAACTCCCAGGAGTTCCTGCCCATTGGCCCTGCTGGTTGTGGCTGATGGGAGGTGAAGTTCAAAACACCTGGAGGGTACCGAGCAGGGGAAGGCTGGGTTAGAATATCAGATAAGGATTTGAAAGATCCAGGTGTGAGTTTTCATTCAGCCCTAAAGCTCACTGGATGATCGTGAATCAGTCACTCACCCTCCCTTAGCTTAACCTACCTCACAGGATTGTTGTGAGGTGGAAAGACCTGTGGACGCCACCATGAGCTTGGAGGAAAGGCAGGATAAACTTCAATAAAATAAATAAGTTACAGTGCAATCCTGCACAGGGTTCAGACTCGGCCCAGTGCTCTTTGACATTTTTATTAATGATTTCGATGAGGAGATGAGGCACAAAATTGGATAGGATAGCTAATATCCTGGAAGACAGAAACAAATTTCAGAGTCATCTAGATAGGTTGGAGTGCTGGGCTGAAAACAGCAGAATGAAATATGATATGGACAAATGCCGAGTTCTGGATCTAGGAAAAAGAAACCACGTGTGCAGTTAGTTTTTTGTTTTTTGTAAGCCACCCAGAGACTCTGGTATTGGATGGCATACTGTATAAAAACTTTAAATAGATAGATAGAAAGATAAATGATAGATAAATGGGGCACATTTGGCCCAACAGTGCTGGACCAAGGACCTCAGAATTGTTGCAGGTCACGAGCTGGATCAGAGTCCACAATGTGATGCGGCTGCAAAAGGGGGAAACGCTAGTTTGGGTGCCAAGCTTCAGGCTCCACACAGGCATCGGAAGCTCAGGTGGTCCACTGACATTGCTTGGTGCAGCCTCCTCACACAGCTCCTGGTGAGGCTGGCCCTGCGTGGTCCGGAGGAGGTGGTGGCCAAAGGAGAATCTCACATTGCCGGGCTGGTTTGGATTGTGCTGCCCCGGTGGGCATACCGTGCACCAAATTCACCATGCCCAAAGAGAACGCAACACCTCCCAACTCCATGCTGGGCAAAGCTTGGACTGTCAACTTGTGCACCCCAAGATGCTGCTCGAACTGGTGAAGCTTGTGGTTGCCAAGACGAGTCAAGATCTGCTGCAGCTCAGTCCTGGTACCTGTTTCCAGGGTCTCTGCACAATGCAGGATCTCTCAGAGCCACCCGTTAAAGAACTGCAAAAACGTCTCCGGTGTGTCAGCCTTCCACTGGCAAGGCGAACACTCAAACAGTGCCCCCCCCCCCCCGTTTGCATTGGTTCATCATCGGAGGATGCTCTGGGTTGGGCTTCAACAAACCACAAGGTGGTCTGGCTCGGTAGCAAAACATCAAAACTAATGGAGTTCCATCTCCTTTTGGCTTGTATTCTGATTCATCCCAAGGACTCAGTTTTCCTAAATATTAATAGCCCTGGCATCTGGGGCAATCTTCCCCAATCTTCCCTCCAGATGTTTTTGGCCACAACTCCTTCGTCTGTGACTAGTGGCCTTGTCGGCGGAGGCTGATAGATGTGGTAGTTTGGAGCAGTTGGTGGAACCTGAGCTGGGAAAAGATGGCCTGAAGTATGAGGTGGACAATTTCAGGAGATGGAGGGGCCATTCCCTGCCTCCTCCTGGGTGCAGGCCTCCCCCACACAGTGCCAAAAACATCAACAACAATGACAACAATAATAGGCACCTGTAGAAGCCATGAAACACTTAAACAGCCAGTGAGCAGTTGGAAAGTCCCCTCTAGATGACGTCTGTCTGTCTGTCTGTCTGTCTGTCTGTCTGTTTCAAATTGTAGGACCAAGGGCCTGCATGACCCACTCCCAGCCTAGAGGGTTGTAATATTAGGCAATTACGCTAGCTGAGTTCTTTTTCCCCCAGTTTCATCTGTTTCTTTAAAAGCGAGGCAGAAACAAGCCAAAAGGTACACAGTTGTGCTGGCAATCATAACCAGCCCCAGAAAGCTTCCCAGGGACCATGCTGGTTGCAGGCAGACAGTGCTAACCATGCGCGTGTTAAAGAAGATGCTGCTGACGTAAGTGGGCGCTGGAGGCAGTTTCTCTGAAGGTTTGTCCAGAAGGTCAGTAGGCCCTTCTCCACTTGCATCAGCAGCCCTGGCTGTTCATGGTGCCCCCCTGGAAAGGTGTCACCGGGGGCGGGTGCTGTGTAAGGAGCAGAGCTAAGTCCTGGTTGTGGTTTGGCACTCTGCCCAGCAGGCAGAAAGATCAGCTCTTTGCTTCCAGATGAAGGAATGCTAGAGGCAACAGTCATAGCTGTCCATGGATCCCTGCCTCCATCCTCCCCAGGCTCTGAAACTTCCACTGTCTCTCCGTTATCTTAATATACTTTCATCCCAGCCAAATTTACAGCTTTTAATTCCATCAGATGTTCCCTGAAAACATTCTAGCAGCTTTGTTCCCTGGCTAGTTGGAACACTTTTATTAATGACTTGGACAAAGAGGTACAGGAAATGAGGATCAGATTTGCAGATGACACAAAACTGGGAGGCATAGCAAATACTCTGGAGGACAGAAACAAAATTCAAAGTGCTCTTGATAGGCTGGAGCACTGGGCTGAAAGCAACTGAATGAAATTCAACAGGAGCAAATGCCAAGTTCTGCACCAAGAAAAAGGCAACAAATGCACTGTCACAAGATAGGGAATTCTTGGCTCAACGGTACCACAAATGAAGGATCCTGGAAAAGCAGAATATGAGCCAGCAATGTGACATGGCTGCAAAAAAAGCAAATGCTGTTTAGGCCTGTATTAATAGAAGTATAACTTTCAGATCACATGATGTGCTGGCTCCCCTCTGTTTGGCCCTGTGATGAGAGATTGAAAGAACTGGGCATGCTTAGCCTGGAGAAGACTGACAGCATATTTGATAGCACTTTTCAAATACTTGAAAGACTTTTACATGCAGGAGGGTCAGGTTCTCTTCTCAATCATCCCAGAGTGCTGGACACGAAATACTGGGCCCAAGATACAGGAGGCCAGATTCCGGCTGGACATCAGGAAGAGCTTCCTGGCTGTGAGGGCAGTACAACTTATGGAGGCTGTGGGCTCCCTCACACGGGAGGCCTTCAAGAAGCATTTGGGCAACCAGCTCTCAGGGATGCTTTAAGAGTAGGACTGAGTGGCCTTGTAGGCCTCTTGCGACTCGGCTCTGATATCCCCGCCTTGAGGCCATGTATGAATGCTCTGTGCCTATGCAGCTGCACCAAAGGCTGCTGTTAGAATCTCTTTCCCATATAAATAGACCTATAATGGCTTTGCTCTCCCCAGTATTTCAGCCGTCAGTGGTACCTTATGGGTAACACATTTTTGGGTGCGATCCTATGCAGGGTCCCACAGCACCCAGCATGCTCCAGCCAGCCATGAGTGTGCCCTTCTTGTCCAATGCGCTTCCACAACTAACATGTGTTAAGATGCTTGAATTTGCTTCCAGAAATGTCCCTCAGTTTCTCTTTTGCACATTCTTGCTGTTGGGCATGGAATATTTGAGGACTGTCCATGCAATATTAGCTTGGGCATTCAATTATCTTTGCTTTCAGGATTTGGTATTTTAAAATATTTGACAGTAGGCATGGAATAATGTTCACTGTTTGTTTAAAAGAGACTTGCAGTGGTATTCCTGTTAAGAACACTGGGCAGATATCACCTTGTCAGGTTTCATATGTGAGAACTTGAAAACCCACATTGATCAACCTTCGAGGTAAAAAGTCACTTCCAGTGTCTGAGGCTTGCATCTGCAGCTTTGCTTATAAGTAGTGGCCCCGCATCCAGAAGCAGAGGCCTCTCAAACCTGCTGCAAACAGGTTCGGGATCTTCCATGCAACATCTTCTATGAGGTAAGGAATAATAAAGAATGGGTGGGCAATGATTCTGTGGTTCTTGTTTCAGCAAGGATACATGGGACGGCTTCGGAGGTCCATGTCCCATGCAATCTGAAAGGAGTCATGCTGACCTGGTACTGGATTCCATTGTACCCCAGGTGTGCTGACATCAAGGGGAATGAGAAGAAGACCATTTGCTCGTTGATTTCTAATCAAACACATAAGGACCCAAAAAACAGATTTGAGATGAGATCCGAAGTGAAGCTGCAAGAAGGAAACAGCAGGGCCACCCTTATCCTCAGAGCCCTCTACATGAACGACTCTGGCGATTTCTACTGCTCCAACAGCAAGAAGGATTCACCAAGGGTCACAGTCACTGTGAAATCTGGTAAAAATAAAATAAAGGGAGAATAAAACTAGGGTTGGAGCTTGGTAGCAAGTCTTTTCAATGCCAGGTTCTTCCCCAACAGTATTCTGGGGTCAAATGTCATTTGTAGGAATGACAGCACTTCACTGTCAGATGTATAACCCAAATGAACTTTGATGTACATCATGGTTAGACTTGAGGTAGGGTTAACACTCGGCTAGGATGTCATTGACCTGGCCAGTGTCTGATTCCTGGCCAAACAGATGTTGAAAGTACTGCAGTTGTTCTTCTGGAGGCTGTATAGAGTTCTTTGAGGTTGTGCATGCATACTCTGGGAAAATATTTTCTCTGTAACAGGAAGGCTCCCATGGTTGCTCAATGTGAATTTGATGCTTTGTAAGTCTGGGGACAGAATGCCATTTCAGCCAGTGACTATGGGCTTTTCTACATAAGGCATTTATCTTATGCTCATCATCCCCTACTAATGAGCTGATTATGGGTTCTTTAGACACCTGTCTAAAGTTTCACCTGTGTGTCTGAGGAGAGGGATTTGTTTAGAGCAGGGAAAACATGGTAGATAGTTGTAAAAGTGAAAGCAACATTGGAACACTATTTGCATATTTGTGCTATTTTGGCACAACATAGCGCCATCTAGAGGTTATGTAACAGAAAAGCAAAAAAGGAAATGTCTTAATGTAGGGTTGAATCTCAATTCTGTGACAAAACTGAAAGTTGATGCAGCCTATTGATATCCTCCACTAGAGAAGCTGTATCACTACACACAGTATGGTAAATCTCCAAAGGTGAATATTTTATGTGAAGAAGTACTTCTTTGTGTCTGCCACACTATCCTGAACCTATTGCCAATCAATTTCCTTGTTCGATCCAGAGTTGCAGTAATATGGAAGAGAAAATGTCCTATTACTTCCCTACACTGTTCCATGAGTCTATAAGCCTTTGTTGCTGTCACATCTCCCTATGAGAACAAGACAATCAAAATGTCTTGCAGTGTAGGGCAGCAGTGACTTGAGCCTCAGTAGAGAAGATGCTTCAGAGTTCTAGGACCACCACCAGAAGAATAGACCGTACTCTGATCTGTGATTCCACCTATGTCCCGTCCCTTAGCCAAGATGCATTTGGACATATTTTAGCCCACCATTTCTGGAAATGGGATTCTGTGGGAGGAGACTTTCCCTTGGATGGATTCTCTGTCCTTGGGAAGGAAACCTGGGTAGAATATCAGATTAAAAACTAAATGTTTCTGACAGGTAATCAAAATGGGATTCTTGTGGAGTATTTCAAGTGTACGCGGCATAAGTATTGGCAAGCCAACCTAACCTGTAACTCCTGTGAATACAAGAGAGATGCTGAAGTTCATCAAGATGGTGCCATTAAGTGGACCTTAAATGGCCAGCCTGCTCCTAGTACAATATTAACCCAGAAGTCAAGGAATATCGTTCAAGTAAGATTAAACCCTAAACATTCATATGGACTCTGGAAATGCAGTGATCCGGTGTGCCCAAGACAATCTGATGGCTACTGTTTAGAAAACGATCCAAAAACTTTAGAGGGATGTGTGAATAAAGAGACTTCCATGTTTACGCCGTCCCCACCAGGTGAGTGTCTGTTGCAGAACCCTACGGACATCAGAGCTGTCAGCTGGATTGAGCTCGGTTGGGCTAGGTTCATATTCACTGGCATATCCCAAGCTTACAACTTGATTATTCTGCTGTTGATGACTGGCAGCTGAACGGGCAGACGGACTCCCCCAAAGGGCCTGGCCTCTGGGACCTTGTTAGGTGATTTGAAAGAGCCACTGCTAATTCACCCGTGACAGCTCGTTCACGACATCAGATCCCCACCTGAGGAAGCATGCATCTCTGAACCAGCCATCAAATGATCAGGGATTATGTTTCGTTTGTATTTATTTTGGCAGGGCTCTGGCACTTTTCCCAAGATCAGCAACAGGCAGGATGTAACAGGAGCAATTTCTTCAAGCCGAGCTTGATAGGTGGGGGAGAGAGCTGGGGGGGGGGGAAGGGAAGGGAGTAGTGCAGAAAAAGGGATGGGAAGAGGGAAACATTTTTTTGGCGTGGGGGGTTGAGGAGAAATCTAAAATTGCTGAGCCTATGGGCTTTACACTAAGCATTGGAGGTACAGTATGGACCTATGTCTCTTTTGCAAGTTTGTTCTTATCGTAATTGCTCCATCTCCATTAGTGGTGATGGAGCTGCAACTGGCAGCCCAGAGGAGTGACCGCTCCTCAGCAGTATTTCTGCTCGAACGTCTCTGCAGCCAACTGTCCCATCATCCCTGATGCATTGATGGGGGTGATGGGGAGGAAGAGGGCCTCCTTCACTGGCCAGTGTGCAGCGAGTCTTGGGAGCAGTGCAGAAGCGGTACGGCAGCAAGTAGGAATGCCGTTATGTTTCTCCTGCACAGCTTCCAGAAACAAACAAACCAACAAAGTCATTGACCCCATCTGAGCACAAACTATTCCGTTTAAAGCATTTCCAAGCGCTGGGATTCCTCAAGGCCGTAGAAAGGACCCCTGCTTTCCTCCCCAGCACGATCAGCCCAAATCTATGGCTCTTTTCTAAACACATTGGGGGTTCCCTTATATAAAGTTGCTATTCCCTTTTGCCTTCTGCGCAGGGGGGGTGCTTGTCTTTCCATGTTGTTTGCAAACTTGTTTGCAAACCCTCACTTTCTTTCTCTCTCTGAAAGCACAGAAAAGACAAGCTTTGACTCATACGTGATTGGGGGTGCCTGTAGCGGACTCCTGGTCCTCCTCTTGGTGGGCGCTGTTTTTGTCGTCTGCAGAAAGCGTCAGTCACGCAGCCTCAGGTACTGAACTGAGGGTGGGGTTCCAGGCTGTGAAATGCCTTGACTCAATTTGGGGAAGGATTTGATGAGCTTCCCAGCGGGAGGCATTTATTGTGCACTTGTGATTCCTCACTCGGGGTAGTTTGGTGGTGCTTTTTATGATATTGTAATCTTCTAGGGTCTCTTCTGTTCACGTGCAACAATTTTAGCACTTTTTTTTCCTAACAAGGAAAATGTGATATTACCTGGAAATGGTGATATGGAATCCTGAGTATTTGCACAATTTTGCTACACCACAGCGCCACCTAATGGTGGTGCAATGGAACACACAGAATAGCAACGTATGTCTCAACTTGGAAGTGAAGCTCAGTGAGTGGACATGGTCAAGTCCTTCTCTTGCAACTCAGCCTAAGTGGGTTTTCCCTCCTCTGTGCTTCTGTGGTGCTAAAAGCAGGCCATGTTTGCTCGAAGGCACAGGAAAGTTGTTGGGTGGGGAGAAGAGGGACAACCAGTGGGTTGCACTAGATGTCTTCCGAAGTCCATTCAGACTCAAAACCCCTGTGTTCCCATTGTGCCTTATATTAAAGCTTCTGGCACCCTTATTAAATTCCTGCTGCGGTGCAGCACAATATTTCTCTTATTTGAATGAACTTTGTGTGAACTTTATGAAAAGCAGTTTCATAGATGTCATTCTTTATGCTTTCAAGCTCCAGTGAGACAACAAAGGAACCGGAAATACAAGGGACAAAACACTCAGCTGGTGAGTATTTAGTCTTCTGGAAGTCTAATAAATATGATGTCCTTTTCTTCAGCAAGGAGCCCATGGACACAATAAAAATAAAGTAAATGTAGCACCAGTATAGCATTGAATGTTTTGTGTTCTTTCTATTCATGTTATATAATGTTTACATATGTTTATATAGATGTTTATAAAAATGAAAACTGAACATGATATTCTTTGTTTCATTGGAGTATTTACATATTTCTCTTTAATCAAAATGTCAGGGCAGTTTACAGTAGGAACATAAAATTGCTGCTGAGGCTGGGTAGTCATTTAATTTTTATTCTGTTCTGCTCCAAAGTCGTCTTAGGTCTTGCAAGTCTATTTGCTGTTGGGCAGCTCAAATTTTGCAAAGTTTAATATATTATACCGCCCAATAGCCAAATGGCTCTCTTGGCAGTTTGCAAGGTTAAAAGGCCACAAAAACAAGGAAACAGAACAAACACTATCACAATAAAACAATAAAACAGTGGGCCAGTATAAAGACAACAGTGACAACATACCCAATCAAATCAATCAAGTTGGCACATAAGCACAGGCATGGTATCTAATAAAAACAATATTAAAAGTTAACTATTAAAATTCCTGGTAAATAAAAAGGTTTTCACCTGGTATTAGTATTAATGAGCACAGAAATTATTATTATTATTATTAGAACATTTCTATGCCGCCCCTTGCCAAAGCCTCGGGGCGGCTTACAACACAATACAATACAATACAATACAATACAATACAATACAATACAAAACAAAACAATATAAAAATAACAATATAAAATCAAAATTAATAATATAAAATAAATAAAACATATAAACGATATAAAAGAAGTTATAAAAGAAAAGTTATAAAAGAAAAGAAAAGAAGTCGCCCTGGCCAGATAAAATGGCCGGGATTCATTTGTAAGTGACTCTCATTTGATCTAATAGCTTAGCTTCTGCAAGACAGAGATAACGTGAGGCCACGAGAAAAACCATGCTGGATCCGACGAGTGGGCCATCCAGTCCAGCGCTCTGTTCACCCAGTGGCAAGCTGGCTGCTCCCAGCATCCCTGTCTGCCCAGCCCCTCAGCACCTGGTGTGCAACTGGCATGCTGCCTCTGGTAAAGCCGGAAGCACATGGCCAGCAAGCCTAGTAGCCAGAGGCTGAGCCGAACTGCTTTCCTAAGGCTTTGTTCTGATCCAAGCATTTTAACTGCCAGTTAGGAAACTTTTGACTAAGGTGAAACTTAACAAAGCGCAATGAAGTCAGGACATCCGATTGCTAGACATCAAAGTGAGCAAGGGCAAGTATGCTGTGTACAATGGATACGGCTCTCCGTTTTCAGAAATGATACCTCAAAACGCTTTTGTCTCTAGGGTAGGGAGAGGCAACTGGCAGCCGAGGAGCTAAGCCCAGCCCTCAAAGGGGGCTATATTTGCTTGGAGCAAGAGGGAAGAACAGCTGTGGTCACGGGGCGCCAGCAATTCACTTCGAGGGGGACCTGGGATGGGGCTGGTGACTCCCATGGCAGTGGGTTCCCTCATCCATGACAACGTTTCTCTTCAGCTTTAGGGGAGATCTCTATGAGGTGAACCTATTTCAAGAACGGACGGGTTCAGAACCATGACTAACTCCCATAAAGCTCGAATAAAAGCTGCAATGGATAAGGAGCCCCACTGAGTAGGCGTCACCAGCCTCTCCTGCCAGCACCTGCTCGGTGGGATCCTCCCTGTAAACATAGTTGCTGACTATGGTGGTAGCAGGTGCAGTAAAACTTGCTCAGCAGAGCTCGTTCTATCACATTTCTGATGCCCTTTTTAAATCTTAGTCCCAGAAGGATCTCCAGAGAGAAGAAACAGGGAGGCAAGAACAGTGGTTGATCACAGCTCCACCGAGGTAAAGTCAAATCGCACAGTTTCTACCCTCTCCTGATTTGTTCAGTTTCTCTCTTTGTTAAAAAAGAAACCTCTGTTCCACCTTTCAAACCATCATATTCTTTTCAAGACATTTAATGAGCAGCTAAAAATGTTTTTAAAATAACACCGATGCCTAAACCTAACCACCCCCCTCTGTGTGTGTGTAATCTCTGTAGAAAAATTTGGCATCAAAATTCAACCTCAGTCTAGCAGTGGGCAGATCTGCCAGTCCTGCACCCTTCCACATCTAAAAGTTTCAAATCTCAAGTTTTTTCTGCCCCACTTATGAATACATTTCAGAGTTTTATTACATTCGTATAAAAATACCCTTGAACAAAATTCTTGCCCAACCCTAATTCAGTCCTGTGTTAAGGATGCTTTTTAAAAGATGCAGTCCTGATTTTTCTTAGATAGAAAGAGGCGTTCCAGTGCCCAGAACTTCCTAAACAGCTGTTGGAACCCTGGAAGTTGTACAACTTTTTCTGCCTAAACACACATAAGCTAACTGTGTAAATTGCCCTCATTTAAGGCAGTGACTTCAAGTAAAACTAAAATCCAATAATTGGTAGTGAGTGTAGGAGCCCCTGGAATAAGCCTTTCCCACTCTCTTTGGTTACATCGTGTGCTTTTTCTTTTTTTCCTTCCAATACATCCAGGGGGGATCGGAAGGAATCCAGTATTCCACATTACAGTTCATGGAAACTGGTGGGGTTGAGATCCATATGGATAAGGACACTGTCACATATGAGGAATTGTGCAGCTGCGACTGATTGGGACCACTGGCCCACTCGCCTTGTTCGTCACCTCACTGAACATGGCAAGAAGAAACCTTTTCTGCAGAGAGCTTATGACGGATTCCTTCCGGCAGTTTAGAGCACATGGCTGCCTGGGGAGTGCTGGACTTGTAGGATCTGTTTCTGACTAAGATGCATATGGTTGTGTCATTAATTGCTTAAGATGCCAGGGCACCTGCTATTGCAACAGTCCAAGGAAATGTTAGCCTGTGGGCAGCCTATAGGGGGAAGGATGACTTGGCAGCAGCGAACCTTGGCGGGGGGAGAGAAGGCAGAAAAATGGCGGAAAAGATGCTGTGCTTCTTCCTTTACCACATGCCTGCACAGACCAGTCGCTGAGGAGCTTGGCCTCGTGGAGCCCCTGTACCCATCATGCTCGAGGGGTGCTGTGGACAGCTGACCTGACCCCCGTCTGAATGGAGTGCTGGACTGGATGGACCACTGGTCTGATCCAGCATGGTTTTTCTTATGTTCTGAGTCTGGAAAGAAATTTTCTCTCTTTGGAATACAAAACATGGAACGTGTGTATTGTTGTGATATTTCTTGTATTCCTCCTGTATTGATCATTGAGCTCATCTCAACAGGGCTTATGATACCTAGACAGGGGTTATGATAGGCACCTTATGCCTTATACGGAGAAGAAAGTCCCATTGTATAGAGTAGCGCATACTCCCTCGTAAGTACTTTCGAGAGCCAGTGTGGTCTCACGGTTAGGGGGCCTGGGAGTTCCTGGTTCTTGTCCTTACTTAGACATGAAATACACCGGGTGACTTCATGCATTATTAAATTTATATTACACTAATCAGTAGTCCGTCAGGACTCTCTAAGTGGATTACAAGACACACAGAATCAAAACAATAAGTGACACTAACAATAAGACAAAAATATATCTAACAGTCAATTAATAATAAATCGACATTACATAAACACAAACCATAACAATATAATATACAATTTAATATACAGCAGAGAGTTTAAACAGTAACCTGAGAGTTAAAAGCAATACAATTAAAATATAAAACATTCTAAAATGTAATTCAAATTAAAAATTATAATTTATACAGACATAAAATCAATTATTAAATATCTGGAAAATAAAATTGTTTTTGCCAGGCGCCAAAAAGGGTGTCATGAAGGCACCAGGGAACCGCTCTCGGGAGGCTCTTCTAAAGGGGAGGCACAACCACTGAGAAGGCCCTTCTTCTGTTTGCTGTCCTCCTTCCTTCCTTGGAGGATGGTTCTTTCAGCAGGACCTCCAAGCCTGATCTTAGGGGTCAGGTAGGTGCATATAGGATCAGGCAGCCCTTCAAGTATCCTGCTCTCAAGTCATGCAAGGCCCTTTATGTTAACTAAGCACCTTAAATTGGGCCCAGCGCTCAACTGGCAACCAATGAAGGTGATAGAATATGGGTGCGAGGTGGGCGCGTGGGTTTGCTCACCCCAGCAGCCACGTCAACCTATTTTGCACCAGTTGAAGTTTCCAGACCACCTTCAAGGGCAATAGTCCAGTCAAGAACTTATCAAAGTGTGGGTGACTGTGGTAAGGCTCCGTCTGTCCTGACAGGGCCCAAGCCGATGAATTAACTGTAGCCGAAAGAAGGTGCTCCTGGCCTCTGAGTCCACCTGAGACTCAAGTGATAGCCTGGGGTCCAGGAGCACCCCCAAGCTATGGATTCTGGCCTTTGGGGGGGTGGGGGGAGGACTCCATCCAAGACAGGCGGAAGGCCTGGGCAGACAGACCGCCCACCAGCAGCACCTCCATCTTAGCTGGATTGAGCTTCAGTTCATTGGTCCTCATCTAGTCCATTATCAAGCTCGGGCAGTGATTCAGGACGGAAACTGCCTTACCTGGGTCTGATGAGAATGAGAGAGAGAGCTGGGTGCCGTCAGACTACTTTGGGCCAGTCACTCCTTCTCAGACGAGCCTCCCTCATGGTGTTGTTGTGAGGATAAAATGAGTGGAGGCCCAACCTCAGCCACCGTGGGTTCCTCACAAGAGGAAGTGAAGGTGGGATAGAAATGCAATGTAGTAGTGGTAGTAATGCATTTACGATCGAAGTTGCAGCAGGCTGCGAAATCCCACACGCACTTACCTGGGAGTAAATCCCACTGAATTCAGTGGGACTTACTTCCAAGCAGATGTGCACAGGATCGCATTGTTCATGGCCAAAACCTTCCTTCCTCGCTTATGCTCTGCTTTCCTCCATGATTAAAAAGAAGGCGAGGGGGTTCCAACAGGCAGCAGCACGCTGACTGGCTCTGGCTGGCTCCGCTGCTGCATTGTTTGGGGGGGGGGGGCACTGCATGGCCCTGGAGGCAAAGAGATTCTGCGTCTGCCTAGCCTGGGGGCAATTTCCACCTCAGTTTTGACAGTGGGGGATGGACAGAAGGAAAAGGAGGGAAGGGTCATAAAGCAGGGAGCTGTACAGGTGCAGTTGCCCATCTGTCGGATGATGGACACAAGCAAGTGTTTATATCCTTGCTGCAGTGGTCGTGCCAGCCCCAGCGCTAGCCCATCTCTTGTGCAAGGGCAATGTGGTGCTCCTGGTGGAAGCCCTGCAATGCGCAGAAGTGCGAGGCAGGTGGGCAGAGCTCCCTTGTGCACGTTCTGCCAACTTGCCTCCTTCCAGAAAGGAGCGTTTCCGCTTATGGCGGGTGGAAGTGCTAAATCGCTCTTGTTGGAGTGGTGAGTTCTGCTTGCACCACAGAACTGGTGGCATTCGCAGCTTGGGGAGGGAACCGGCAGGAGCACAAACACCCTCTGGTTCTGCCCTCCGGACCAAATGAAATCGGAAGTGAATTCCCCGCTCACGTTTCCTTAAGCCTAAACTGCGGTGCTGGTTCTCCGAGGGCTTTCCTGGGGTGGAAGGGGGAGATTTTTTATTTATTTGTTGATTTAAACCCTTTATGCCCCGTCCTATACATAAAAGTCTCAGGACGGTCCAACAGCAAAGGCACAGCATGCTATCTATAACAAAACGTGAGGATTCAGCCCTTTCCCACCTGTTGCGGCCCTGCCAACACTGCCTCCCTGAGGCTGCTGCTTGCACGGGAGGGAAACCTCTCACGGCACCATGCAGGGCTGCTGGTGTGAACGGCAGCTTCAGGGAAGAGGGTTTCATGAGGACCTCGGTGTTGGCAGCAGGGCGGGAAAGGTTCGGCTTGCTCTCTTGCTCTCGGAGGGATACAAACTGGAGCTGTCGTCTTCTGCCCCCCTTGTGAACAAGGCCATGGCCTGTCTGGAGGCACCCAGAGTGGGAGAGAAGGCACCTGTGTTTAGGGGAGCAGGTCCCTCTGCTTAAAGAGGGAGGGGTAATAAAGCAAGGAGACTGTTGGTGGGACCACGCAGCACATTTCTGGAGAACTTCAGCGGGAAGCAGATCAGGAAACAGTGGCTGGACGTAGGCAGGCAAGTAGGAAATGACAGATGCAGTTTCATACAATTACTGCATAGACCGTGATGCTGTCTGGAGTCTGAACTGCCTTGGACTTCTGCTGAAGATGTTGCAACTGGGCGTAATGAAGGGAAGCAGATCTCTGGAAGGAGAAACTGGTTTGAGCAAGCAGCTTAAGAGGGCCCCTTGGAGTCTGCCATCTGCCCCACCTTTTTCTAGCCATGGTGTGCTCCAGGGGTGCCTGGTGGTATTTACCTCATTCAGACTTTCTCTTTCGAATGTGTCCTCATTTGTTCTGATGGAAGCATGATCTTGAGGCGTTAGACCATAGAGAAGAGAATGAAAAGAGAGAGAAAGAAACAGTGGTTGAGATGTGAGAGCTTGGCAGAGCACACGGAAGCAGAGAAATACAACCAGTTGGAGTCAGGATCTGCTTTGCAAAAGAAGGACGCCACTTGAGAAAGTCCCTCTGCCTGCATTTTGGGGTCCCCCTCCCTCCCACATCTCTCCCTCATCAGCAGCGTTGGGCGCCGAGGTTCTTCCTTCACACAGTCAAAAGCCACAGACCTTTTTCCTTGCAAAGTGTTCTTTACCGGCCAAAAAGTACCAAGCACCCAGAATGAATCTGAGCATACACAGAACGGTTTGTTGAACCCAATCTAATAATCACCCCCTTAAGAGCGTGCCTGGGCCTCATCCCTTCGGATGGGTCCTTCCGGAAGTGAGCATACCTCTTCTCTGTGTGCCAGTCCTCTCATTGGGCCACCCTCCTCTGCTTTTATTTATGTATTTATTTTTAATATAGCACATAAGCCTATGGCGCACATATAAACCTACATATAAGCATAGGGAATGCTTGAATATTGATCAGCATTTTGGATTTATTCTGTTTTGATGAGTTCACATATCCATACCTTATGGATCCTTATTCCTGGGAGGGATGAAATATACCTTAGATATTCTGAATTAACACACTTTCATGAGGTTACTGAGGGAAGCTTTGGGCCTTGTTTGGAAGGCCATGCCATATGAATTTCAGATGAAAAGGCATTCATTTCTTGGACCATGAAGCTGTTAAGTGTCGCTTAGCTTTAAAAATCTGAATAGCCTGGGACTCATAAATAGATCACTTCTTTCTATATAGACCTGCCAATGATTTGGAGATGCCCTTTTCTGAGTGCCTTGAGAAGAAAAGCATATTGTGGATGCAGGATGTGGAAGGGCTTTTCTGTGGTGACATCCCAAATCCAGAACGCCCTCTCAAAGGAGATTCAAATGGCACCAACAAGATCCTTTTGGGGCCAGCTTAGTATGTTTTATTTGTCCCAGCAATTGACTGGTTTTCAGGTTAATGTACGGTTTTTATCTGGTTGACTTATTCTTACTAAATGGCTTGATATACTTGTCTTTTGTCATGTTGTTGATCTCTGGGCCTATTTGTGTGGCTCAAAGGTAGACTAGCATTTTAAAAAATGGCCTACCAGTCCACTCCTCCTTGCCTTCGTGTTTCCTAGAAAGAAAAGGCAACAGTTGTTACATGTGATGATGGATGCAGGGAAATGAGTGCAAATGGCAGCCATATTGCAGCCTTATGGTACCTTCCCATATTGCAGCCTTCGCAGCCTGGTGCTCTTTAGGGGTATTGGACTTCAACTCCCATCAGCTTCAGCCAGCATGGCCAATAGTCAGGCATGATAAGAGGAAACCAGGTAGGGGAAAGGCACCACAGCGAGTTCCTCCCCTCCCGACACGAGCTCAGGAAGCCGTCACAAGTTTTACTCAGCTGCCCATCCTTCACAATTGCATGAACGGGGGGAGGGGGCCTGGCTTACTGCACCCCCCCCCCCAGGTCCCCGCTGGCTCGTTCCCGTCCTCCACACACTGGCGGGGAGAGGGGCGAAGGAGGAAGCCTCCCCTATGCACACAGGCCTTCCATGCAAGTTAGAAAGAGGGTTGCGCTGACTTCTGAATCTTGCAGGGAGCTTAGTGTGCGCAGCAAGCCCTGTGCCTTAGACCCAAGATATGGAGGGCACCAGGGATGGCACAGCAGCAGAAGCACTGGGGGGCCAAGCCCTTTCTTCATATTATTTTCCCACCATGCTGGTGCCAGCCACATATGGAGTATCAAGGAAGGCACGCTTTGATGACATCATATGTGGGTGCCTTTTCAGTGGGGTCCCACATCTGGCTTTGGCCTTCCATCCCTCGGAGTGCCAGGAAGGATCGGGAGATGCTGGCTGATCCTGAATCAGCTTCTTATGAGTCCGGCTAGCCCACCCCTGTGCGCAGGGGGAGCTCTGTTCCCCAGCCCTGATGCTTTCAGTGGTGGGGCTCAACCCTGGAACCTTCCACATGCCAATCATGGCTGAGCATCCTAAAGACAGGGCTGTGGCCCAGAGCCAGTCTCCAGGCCAATATTAGATGAGACAATGATAAAGGCGAGGAGCCTCTGAGCATGCACAGTGTATTTTCCTCACACCATTAGACAACCAAAGCCTACTTCCACCCATCTGGGAAGGGAATAGGGGAATGCTACCCAAAATGGGGGAAGGGGAAATTCCTGACTGCGGAAATCCAATTCCTCCACCAATCCCTCCTCCAAAAGTCCCAGGGCTCACCTGGCTGCCACTTGTGAGTTCCATTGCCACCCGGCCACTCCGAGAGCAGTCAGGACCAGGAGCGACCCGGCCAGCAGCAGTGCCCAGCTCCAGAGCGCAAAGCCCTTCACCTCGTGCCCGGCCGGTGCAGCGGCTGTGGTCCTTGCGAAGGTGGGATCTGCCCAGGGGGTTGATGCCAAAGAGGTGGGCTCAGCCAAAGCAATTTCTTGCTGAAGAATTGTGGGGGTCCCTTTAAAATCAGAAATTAATATGTGGCCATTCTCACAGTAACATGTCAAAACAGCCAGTCCCTGCACCAGCTCCTGGAAACAGTTTAAGCTTTTAGGGAAAGGAGAAATAGGCTTCCCCCACCGACTCCATGAGTGGGTCATGTGTTCTGCTGTTCAGAGAACAGTCCTCTGTTTGAAGGGCTGCTGGAGGTTTCTTGGTGAGGGGAAGTGTGTGGTTGCAGTGGGTGAGAAAATTCATCCCAAGTATAATCTTACTTTGGCCTTGAAGACTAGAGTGATCCCAAGTTAAGAGGTGGCAGCCGGCCATGCTGCTTCCGCTTGGCCAAAAGGGGTTGCCACAGAGTTAGAGCACAGAATTAAAATTAGGTTTTCTTGGCATTAGGATGTGAAGTTAGCAAATTTCACACACACCCACTTCTAGTAGGCACACAGCTCCCTTGGTCCTAGTTTCCCCCACTGTAATGAAATGCATTGCGTTTCCATTCAGATCGCAGTCATTGTTGTTACATTTGCAGGCAGACATATAAATGAGAACGTGCACATTTTGTATAAATCCATATCCTCTTCTGACCTCTTTTTGGGTGATAGATTTCCTCTTTTGGGGTGATGCATAAGTGGCTATCCAAAAGCCCATCCAAAGAATTGGGCTCAGGAAATGAACAAGAGGCAATGTGCTACCTCCTCAGGGCTTGTGCATGCAGCTGCTGGTTAAAGGAAGGGGAGTCGCTGGCAGGATGAGCTACCTCCTTTTTGCTCTAAAATCAGAGCAGAGGGGACAGGCTTGGTCCCACTGTGTGCTCCCCTTTTTGCAAAGACTTCAGGGAGGGTTGGAAGCATTTTCCATCCTTGATTTGCAAAGCAATGTGCAAATTGGTTTGCACCATTTGTGGAACAAACCGCATCAGGAAAATGCGAAACTACATTTGACAGTTTTGTCCATCCCTGTCGATACAACTCTTTAAAATATAGGAGCCATCTTAAATTTTGCACATAGGCAGGAGAGCCTTCTCTGGTGTAATTCAAATTTACCTACTTCCTTTTGTCCTTTGGGTGGAGTCAAGCAGATTTCAGAGACCCATGAAAAATTGACAAGGGAACGGCATTCCCAACGACCCCAGAAAACCTCCTGGAAAGGATACAAAGTTACGGAAGACCCGAAATCTTTCTTTTTTGCCCAACGGCGATTGCCCAGTGGCTCTGAGTTCAGGGTCCAGCGAAAGGCATATTTCTTGCCCCTCCAAGGGCAGTGATGGCACATCAGTTGGAAAGAGGAGTTACTCAGCGGCTCGGCAGAGACAAAAAGATTGTTGTGGCAGCCTGAGGAGAGAAGAGGAAAGGGTTGGCTCCACGTTTGATGGGGCCTTGCCAAATATGCTCTAGTGGACATCTTCCCTTGTTGGTGGGCCCCTGCCCCAGGTACATACCAGCTGGCTGGGCGCTGGCCTCTCATCCATGTCTGGACCCAGTTTAAATGCTGGTATTCACTTTTAAGGTATGGGGCCGTGTTACCTGAAGGGTAATCTCCTTCTTGAAATACTCTCCAGCCCCTAAGTTCATCTTAAGAGGCCCTCCTTCCTCTGTCAAACCAAGTGAGATGGGGGGCTACTAAGGAGAGACGTATTTCCATGGGTGGCATCCTGGCCGTGGAATGCCCTCCGCAGAAAGGTTCCCTGCTACTGTATTTAGTTTGATTGCAAAACTGAGATCTTGTACACAAAACGCTTTCCTTTTCCTGCATTTCTGCTACAAAATCTCTGGTGACACTATACTGCAGCAGAAAAGTGCCACTACGCTCGTGGAAAAAGCATTTTCTTTGGCATTCTTAAATAATACTTAATGTTCCCTGTTCTTAAAAATAACTTGCCAAAAGTGGTGTTTAAAACAGGCGTGAAACTGGGGTGTCACAGGAGCATTTCTGGAAGATTCTTGGTAGTGATGTGATACTCTATTTAGAATATTTTCAGCTTGTTTTCTCAAGGCAACTGGCTCACAGCAAATATAGGACAGAAAAAAGGCAGTATACAGAAAAATAGAGTGCAATATAATATGTTAAAAAGTGATCAGGAAAGAACATTTGATTTACCCATCAAATTAAAAGCAAGACAGTGTGACAGAGAGGTGCCTTACCACAGTGCTCCTCAAGGCCAGTGAGGAGAAGAAAGCTAATTCCACAGGCGACAGAGTGGGGATGAGTCCCATTCCACAGCCTTGGAGCGGCAGATGTGCAGCTTACTTCTGTTCCCCAAAAATCTTATTCCGCATGGTGGAGGAACATAAAGCAAGGCCTGAGTGGATGATCGAAGCTGCTAAATGGGGCGAGACAGTGAGGGCACATTCCTATGGCCTCCTGAGGCTGCCTGGGAGCTCGTTTTGCAACCTCCGAGCTGGAATGCTGAAGGCCGAGTCCATGTTTCTCCCTACTTTCAGTTGCCATGGGAAGAACCGCAGGGCTGCCTCCCCAAACTTGCCATTGGGCCTTGGAGAGGACGCAAATGAGTTTGCCAGGGAAAGGGGGCTGAGGGCTTACGCTGATTCCTGGTGCACCCCAGGCTCCTTCCTTCTCCATCCCAGCCCATCCCAGTTTAATCTAGACAGATAAAATCTAGAACGGCTGTCCAGATCAAATCCACGGCTGCGCCTCCTCCATGCACCGGATGAGTGTAAGCTCCTGAGTTCTGAGGTTTATGTGAGTCGAGGGCAGAAGATTGTGTCGTGAGGATGGCACCCAGGGAGATGTGCCTAAGGGCTAAAGTACACACGGGCAAGAGAATGGGAGGACCAGGGATGCCATTCCCAGGAGCTGGGCAGGGCTGTAAAGGACACACCGTGTTGGAAGCCCCTCATTCCCAAAGTTGCCGGAAGTCAGAGACAGACAAGAAAGAAGCCAGGAATTGAACCGGGGGCTTTCTGCGTGCAAAAAAGGTGATCCCCACCCCCACAACAAGGCAGGCAACTTTGCAACACACACCAGTCAATTCAGTTGCTGGGTGTGAACACATTTTCAGTCCTTTGAGCCCCCTTCCTAGATTGTGCTGTTCTGCTTCTTACGTGACTACAGAAAATGATAATTTGGGGTAATTCAGGATCCAGGCAAAAGGAGTTCCAGAGCTGTATGATGAGAACATGATGTGGAGGAGCTGGCAGTGATGCCCTTCGCATTTCTTTAAAGAACTGCAGGCACTGCATGCACCCAAATGTGTACTGGGAACCCAGTGTGTGAGGAGGGGAGATTGATTCCTTTCCTACAGTCTTATTTGTTCCCTAGTCTCTCCCTTCGCCTCCCCCATGCATGCCCATGAGGCCCAGGCAAGACCTTCCCATGTTTGCCCCCAGGGTCTTTTTTCAAAGCCTCGCAAGGGGGAGCAGTGTGTGACTCTTCTCCAAAGTGCAGCTGGGAAGGAAAGTGGGGAAACCATCTCCCCAGTCTGTTGCATGTTACAGTATTGAAACAAACTGGGGCTCCTCACACGACCCTGTAGTTAAGAACGCCCCCACAGCGGAGTACGTGCATTACTCATCGCATGTGATTTGACCCTGAGAACTTCCAGGAGGTGCAAGCCTGTTGCTGCCCCAGCATGCCACTTTCTTCCTCCTCTGAGGCCCATTTACTACCTAGAGTGGGGGGCTGGCACAAGTTTTCCTACAGTAGCTGTGAAGGGACTACCAAGAATCCTTTGGCCTTCCAGGCACTGGCAGGAGGCCACAGGATTGCTCCCTAAGTGTGTGAGAGTGTAATCCTATGTATAGTTTAGACAAAAAGATGATTTCATGGGAGCTGTGGGATTTTTTCTCTCTAAATGGGCACAGTGGTCCTAACCTTGGATAAATTCGGACCTGTGTCATCATGTGGCACCCATTCCTCCTGAGAGGGCTGAATCACCTCAATTTTCACAGGATACCTTAAGTGCTCCTCCCACCTGATGCAGCTACCCCTGTATCAAAAGCATCCCACAAAAGGGGTGCCAGAGTAGGGGAAAGGCTTGCTCTAGCATCCTCTACTGGCAGGGTACATTTTTGCTATCAGATACTTGCAGGTGGCTTCCTGCAGGGAACTTAAGCTGGCAGGGTCTGAGGAGCTTGTACTTCTTCACTTAAATGTGGTCTTGACCTTGTAACACAGGGGTGGAAGCAGCTGTTTTAGGCTTCAACTCCCATCCTTCTTGACCACTCACCATGTTGGCAGACTTCTGGGAACTGAAGTCCAGAGCCACTGGAGATCTCCTTCTGCCTATACTTGTTGCAACAGATGGCATTATTAAGCGTCACTTGAGGGGTGGTAAGTGGGTTCTGTGACAGAAGGGGATACATACCCGAAGTCACATGCAGGATGGTGCGAGTTTCTGAATTGCTGGGGAGGAGGCAGATGTAGGTACCCGCATCGCTCATGACCACATTCCTGAGGAGTAAAGAATTTGCTGTCTGGAAGAGGCGCTGGTTGAATCGAAGAGGAGTCACCTTAAATGTGATAGGGTTCCTGGTTATTTCCACATGATCCTGACTGATATTGGCACATCTGGTGTCCAGAGGGAACCAGAACCAACGGGTATCATGGCTGACTCTTTCACAAGGAAGTAAGGCCTGCTGCCCAGCAGTGCGGGTGACTGTGTATGTGCTGACATCTGACAGAGAAAAGAGGCAGACATTAGCATCCTCTCAGGCAAAGCTCCACTGCCTCCCACCCCTTGCACCCCCATCCTATGCTTACAAGACTCCCTCGCACTTGGCTGCGCCGCCATCTTGATTCTGCCTCCCCATGGCACGTAGGCTATCTACTTTTCAGCTTCATATTTCTGCCAGCTCACTCACTGCTTGTATCACAACAGATTCTTCCATGCTAGTATTTTTCAGACACAGGTGCCACATTTGCTCATGAGCAGTGACATGGCCTCATTTCTAATTACTTAGTCATGTGTGTGTGATAAATATATATAATGAACTTGTTATCTCAATGTATATACCACCACATTAGCCCACAGTTGGGCTCTCTGGGCCCTCTTGTTTGTTTCTCCACACGCATCAGGGCTGCCTCAAGACTTTTTTTGATGCTTGAGGAGAAGGGATCGAATGCCCACATCCCATCCCACCTGCCGAAAGGGGCTGAACTGGCATCTGGGACTCACATTGATGCTGGTGATGGGGGCCGCATCCACCACTTCCCCTGGAGTCAGCAGGCCAGCTTAGTGAGCGCAGGGCAAGTAGCCTGGAACACCCAGCTGTGCTTTTCAAGAGAAAGGAGCCACCCAAACGGTTGTCGCAGGAGCCCCCTCCACAACACCCCACAGCAGTCCCTGGAGGTGACGGCCTCACTCCCCGTGAGGCTGGTGCCAGCCCTCCACCCGCCGAGTCTGCTGCTTACAAAACTCTTAAGCACACGGGTCCTGCTGGTGAGCCCCACAAGTGGCAGTGGGTGTTTGAAAACAAGCATTCCCCACCCACTAATGTCTCCCCAGATTCCCTCCTGCTGTCCACCCACTTCCCAAGGCACCTCCAGACAAGGCTTTTATCATGCCACTACCCAGCCTTGTTCACAGAGCTGTCTGAAAAATGCAACCTTCTACTTGCAAGCCTCACCATATTATCTGTTTTTTAAAATATATCTCAGAATATGCATTAAGGAAGAGAAAGTGGAATAACGGAGGGATGGAGCCCTCCATCAGGAAGGGCTCGATCTCCCAACTCCTAGCTGCCCCCAAAACAAGGCTGTTACCATGCGCTTTCTCTAGGATGAGCAATTCCAGGAGTATGCCCAGCAGACAAAGCCCCATATTTTCTCCTCCTTGTTCCCGCTGCTTTGCAATTTATTTGACAGTAATGACAATCCCCCGGCGAGAGTGAAGGCTTTTGAATGCAAAGACATTATTCATCCGGAAAAGGTTATCTTGTGTTGTGGCGGTTTGGGTTTTCTCACTGAGTTAAAGGAAAGAGCTACTTCTTAATCACTTCCAGCCAGACACAGGAGCATTGGATGTGGCATTTCATTCACAGAGGAGGAAAAAAACCGTGTAGGGCAGTCTCCAAAGGAGAGTTTTTGTTTGTCTTCCCTGTGCCAGCACCAAGGGGCTGCTGAAAGAAGGGTCCCCTCGGGTCCCCTTTGTGACTGAAAAGATCAAAGAGTTAGGAATCTTGCTCCAGATGCCCATAACTTATAGTTCCCACAGAGCCGTTTAAGTGCCCTAAGGGACTTGGGGCACATTGTTTATTTGAGGGGGCCTCCAATGGAGGACAGTCCCTTGATAGGCCTCTGTGAGGTAAGCATAGGAGTGCCTGGAGGCACTGCCCAGAGAGCCATGTAATAGCGACTGGGTTCAGACAAAATAATAACCCACACTCAAGGGAAATGTGGGTTATCCTGTGGAAATGTGGGTTATCCTGTTGTCTGAACCTGGCCACATTAATAAGACAATCACAAAGAATCCATAAGAGAGTCCATGGTTTGTTGTTGGGTTGTGAAATGTGGGTTGTTCACCATGGTTTATTTTGACTGTGTTCAGACAACAGAATAACCCATGACTTAGCAATAACCCATACTCAACCCTTGAGTGTGGGTTATTGTATTGTCTGGACCTGAACTGTCTGAGTGTTGTTTGCACAACACCCTAAACCCTTCAGGAAATTTAACCATACACTGTGGTTAAATTCCCTAGAGGTTCTCCTATGCCCAAGAGATGGTTGGCATATTGGGGTTCAGTGCTTCCCCTCCCTGGTTCTGCTGCAGGTATTCTGGGGGACCCCACTGGAGCACTGAGGGGAGCAAGGATGACAGCCCCTCTCATACAACACAACCGCATGCTTTGTTATTTATTCAAAATAGTTTTAAGCTCCCTTTTAGGGGTAGAACCCTCTGAGTGACAAGCAATAAATACAACTAGAATCAATAAGTACATATATACATACAAACATATATAGTAAATTGACTTAAGCTGACTAGAGCTACTTAAGTATATGATAATTGTGGTTAGAGTTAAAACTGCTTTAAAACGAAAAGCAGAAGAAATTGTATTGAAGACTGGAAAATTAAGTCAGTTGACTGTGCAATAATGGTAAGACTAACTAATTATATAGAAAGATAACAAGCCAAAGAAAATGATAAGTGGAAACTGTATTACGCACAACTTCTTCTAAATGGGGATAACAACAACGGGAAAATATAAGTTAAAGGGGAACAGAATGTTTCAGAAAATTGTTTGAGATTAGAGGAATCTTCAGTGAATTTTAATTAACTGCGAACAAACAATGTGATTGAGTAGAAAGGACGGTAATTGTTGATTTACAGTGACTTGTAGGCCATCTGACAAGCCTGAGGTTATGGGGAGGCACAGAAGTGGAAATAGATAGATAGATAAATAAACAAATACATGTTAAAAGATTCATAAAGACTGCCCTTAAAGGATACGGTTTGGTGGCAATATTTTAACCAGGTAATGTCACCAATGTAAAGTCAACCTAAAAAAGGAGAAGATGGACATGTCTGCTCAACCCCAGCCTGATCATTAACTGTAATAACAGCAGCTGTTGTTATAAAATATTTTAGAATCATCAGTAGTACTAATTAATTCACGGACAAACAGATCCTGGCTATGAGCAGACTCCAATTTTTTAAACAAACAATCCAGAATAACAGGAAGAGGAAAGGAGCAGTGTGCTGAAGATAATGGCACATTCCAATTTTAGATGGTAAAAACACCATTTGGGTTGTAAAATATGCACTGTAGCAAATAGGAACAGAGCTGCCTTCAAATTTCAAGTTTCCTGAAAGGAAACACAGCTATTTAAATCTACACTCACCTTTCACATGGGTTGTGTTGAGTGAGTATATTCAGAAGAGCTACTGTTTGCATAGAGGCCGCACCTGGCGTGGCCCCCCGGGGACCAGGGAGGCCCCCCCCAATGCCCTTGCTCCATGTTCCCCAACTTTCCATCACTGGGGAGTTTCCCCCTATTACGAGGCTGAAATAAACAGCCTATGGGTTGGACAGTGTGGTGTAACGGCGCAGGTGTAACAGGACCAGGTGACCCAGTTCTAGTCCCCACTCAGCCGTGGAGCCAACTGGGTGACTTCGGGCCAGGCACAGACTCTCAGTCTAGCCTACCTCACAGGGTGGTTGTTGTGGGGATAAGACTGAGAGCAGCAGAGGAGAATGGCATGAGCTGCTTTGAGCTCTTTAAAATTGAAAAGTGTGGGATAAAAATCTAACAAAGAAACTACTGGCAAGAAGAGTTGTAAACTAAAGCACTCTGATATGTTGGCCTTGTCCTGCTGTCTTTGACTTTACCCCTGTTGCCACAGGCTTACTATATGGGGAGTGGGGCCTGGTCTTGAAGTTGGCCCCTTAAATTTTCTCTGCCTGTGTTATTCAACTTTTTGCAAACAAATAATTTACAGTTTTGTCTTTGAGAAGACTGCAAAATAGACACATTTTAGACTGGTTACAGGAGCATGTGGCCCCAGAAGTGCCTTAGAACTGGAATTTGGCTTTGGAGCCAAACCTGATTCTCCAGTCCTTTAGTGCCTCAGACCCACAGGGGCACATGACAGATACAACTAGTAGTCTAATAGTTTTGTTTGTTTTAAAAGAATGAAAACAAACCGAAAGCTGTTTCCTTCCTTGTTGCAGCTAATATTCTAGCCCCATTTTTCTCAGCTGTTTTCAACCCATACAGGAAAAATACAGACATTTCTTAATTTAAAAAAAATTTAATACCATCATTCCTGAAAAATCTCATGACAGTGTACACAAAAATTATTTAAAAACAATTAAAACGTCAATTAAAAACTCCTTAGTGCCAGTACTTGATACCAAAATAATTAAGATACCAATTAACAATTAAAAAACTGGGCATATAAAAAGGGTTTGGACGGGCGCCGGGACAAATAAAGCGTTGGCACCAGATGCACCTCTCTGAGGAATGAGTTCCATAATCGGGGCGCTATCACAGAGAAGACCGTCCTTCTCATAACGACCCTCCTCACTTCTTTCAAGGGGGGCTCTTGGAAGAAGATCTCTGCAGATGATCTTAAGATCCGGGCAGGCTCATATGTCAAAAAGCAATTTCTTAAACAATTAGCCGCGCTTGTATGCTGCAGCCCATAGCTGTGAGGTTCTCTGGGCAGCTTACATTATGTTAAGTTCGTCAATTTTGCATGGGGAACCCCTGCCCCCACTCACATGTTCCTCTTCTGGCAGATTTCCAAAGCACAAATAGTCAAGAGAGACCGCTGTGGAATGTCTTGTTTGGCTCATAAAGCATGAGCTGCTTGGCAGTTTCCAGTTTGAATGTTGTTTTCGCTCCAAACATCTCAGCTTGGTTTTAACAAATGATTTTCTCGCAGCCTTTGCATGACATCTGAAAACATGCTGAGAATAATATTGGTTTTCCTTTGTGTGACGGTTGAAAGGGCCAGTGTGATTATGTACGTAAAAAGCTTTCGATGCTCGGAATGCTAAACATTGTTATATCGCTATTTACAAAATGCCTTGAGAATAGGTCGAGTGATGAAAATAGACAAAAGTTACAATGGGCTCTTCACAATGGTGTTAGGTTTTAGGCTTTCCTGAGAGAGACACACTCTCATACTCACTTTCCGAGGAATAAGCCCTGCTTAACACAGTGGGAGTACTTCTAAGTAAACATGTCTAGGAGAGCCCGAGATGGACAGACTGCCATATGGGGCTCAATGGATTCATCTTCTGCGTGTTGATGACGAGCATGATAATCCCACTGATAAACTTGTGGGCCTGAACAAGCAAGGCAATTTTCACTTATTGCCTTCCCCGCCCGCCCGCAAATGCCCTCCCCATGCTGATCTGAGCAGATCTTCACATTGGTGGAAACTGCCTGCTGCTTCCATTGATGGGACAATCATGCGAGTTGATCTCCGTAAAGATAGAAATTTACCAAGGGGGACAGAATGCCAGCTGACATCTTTCTTCTGTTTTATTATTTACATGTTTGCATTCTGACAATTAAATGCACAAAGGACACAATACGGGAGAAATGCTTATAGCATTTTATATACGCTATTTAGAGAAGTTGACAGATGCATAACACTACACAGGGAAAATTGCTCCAGTTCTTCCTGTTGTATTCCAAAGATAGGAACTATGTTTTAAATGTTTCTGTAACTTTTCTACGTTCTCTGATCTCAAGAAGTGCACCACTTGTGCTGTATGCCATCCATAGGCTAATATTTGTGTTGTTTTCTGCCACTTCAAGTGATTAAAGTGCTTGTAGAAACCTATATGCAGTTCAACAGAATAATTTTTAGTTCCTGGGGTTTAGCATCACCCTCCTGACCAAATCAAATTAGCCCACCATCTTCAGCAGCTGCTTGTGAGCATTTCAGCATATATGTGAACAGACCCTCTACTTTCCTTGCCCTTGAAAATGGTCCGGATGCTTCAGCTGGTACAGAATAGAGCGGCCAGGATGCTGACCGGTTGTTCTTCTCATATAAGTCCGGGCCCAATTCAAGGTGCTGGTTTTGACCTATAAAGCCCTGAATGATTTGGGACCAGGATACCTGAAGGGACGTCTTCTTCTTTATATGCCCTCATGCCCCTCAAGATCAGTGAGGGAGGCCCTGCTCTGAGAACCCTCCCTGAAGGAGCTGAAAAGGGCATCTACTCAGAGTAGGGCCTTCTCTGCGGTGGCACCGAGGTTTTGGAATGTGCTCCCGGTAGAGGTTTGCCCAGCGCCAAGCTTATACTCTTTTTGACGCCAGGTCAAAACCTTTTATTTAACCGTTATTTTAAAAATTAGTATTTCAATGTAACAGTCGCTTTTTACTTTATTTTTTATTGGTTATATGTCATTTACTTACTGCTAGATTGTTTTAGTGTATTCTGATTTTAATGATTGTAAGCTGTCCTGAGATGCCATGCATAAGGATGGCTTATAATAGTTTTAAATAAATAAATAAAAATACCTTCTATCATGACCTAGTATTTCCCCCAGCCCATAAACTCCATGTTTAGGTCTGAATTCTTATACTTCCTGGATGGTGAATAAACTGCACAGAAGACACAAAAGGGAAACAAGGGAATAGTGGAAAGATTTATTCTCAACAGTACTATGTCTAAACACCCTGCTTGTCCCTCAGAGTGGCATTTTTAGCCTGTGAGGTAGGATATGTGAAGGCAGAATGATTTGTCCATGGCCACCCCTTGAATTTAATGGCTTCACACAATAAATAGATCTGGATTTATTGCATCCATCCATCCATCCATCCTTTCATAGCCCTGCACCTCTGCTGTAATTCCCCCAGATCACTACCTGACACCTTGTGACTGATGCCTCCTGCAGGTGATGAAGCCAACTGCAAGCACCAACAGAAATGAGAAAATGAACAACAAATAACCCAGTCGGATCTGGATTAAAAATATCCTGCATCTACAGGAAAGGCTTGTAGAGGCTTGGCAGTTGGATGCGGCACAGAATAATAGAACAGTACAGTTGGAAGGGGCCAAGAAGGCCACTGGGTCCAGTCCCCTGCTGTTTCAGGTCACCAGTTTACACCATCCATGACTGTCCAGTTTCTTTTTGAAAGTCTGTCGTGTGGGAGAGGCTGTGACCCTTCTCAACAATCTAAAAGCCCTACCCAGAACCCTCTCCCCATTTTGCCCCTTCACATGACTTTGTACCTGACTTCTTTCCCCCATTTATTTATTTTACTTATTTTGCAATTTATACCCTGCCTTTTTCCTACAAAGGGCTCAAGGCAGCTTACATCATTCTCCTCCTCCATCTTATCCCCACAACAACAACCCTGTGAGGTGGGTTGGGCTGAGAGTCTGTGACTGGCCCAAAGTCACCCCGTTGGCCTCATGGCTGAGCGGGGACTGGAATCCAGGTCGTCTGAGTCCCAGTCCCATGTTCTTAACCACTATGCCATTCAGTCTCTCTTCTACACCCCAAAGGGATAACTTCCCTTGAACTGCTTTAGCAAGGGATTCAGGAGCAGACCTCATAACCTCGTGGTCGCAAGGGGGTGGATTTCCTCTCCTTTTGGTTGCCGGGCCTCCTGCAGCCATTCTTTGTGTGTGCTGCTTTCACTGGACTTCTTCCTGCAGCCCTCCTGAACCCGCTTCCTATTCCGTTTCCCAGCAAGTGGGGCAGCCACAACATGTCACCGCTCTCTCTTACACTTTGACTTCCGACACAGAAGCAGCGCTTCAGAAGATTCCCTTGTGCTGAGCAGCGAGAGAGACAATGCAGGACAACCCAGAGCCCCTTCCAATGGCAGCAGACCCTGACAGTGAGAACATTTCTAAAGCTTCCCATCTGTATAAAGATGAATATTAGACCTGCATCTCTCTGGCAACAGTAACACAGACTACTGTTCATCTTGTTCGCAATATATTCTGGAAGAGTTAAAAAAAAGGGGGGAAAAAGAATCAGTAAGTATAAAAAATACCATCTTTATTGTGAGCCCCAACGACTAAGTGGGGGACTTGTGGGGTTAGAGGATAAATATTAACAGGGGAGAGGATGTAGATTTACAGTGTGCCATGGAGAGGGTAGCAGTGATGGGCCGACACACAAGCACACACACAGCAAATGCACAATGCAGGTGAGTGGGAAAGACACCAAGACAGTAAAAGCCACGGGTTCTGCTGGGGAAGGGGGTGCTATAAGCTCCATGGGAGGTTAAATTCTTGGGAAGGGAGTGGAGTGCAGTGCGTTGCTTCAAAGTTTTGCAGGTGCTTCCGGGCCTGTTGGGTGAAGAGGAGGAGGGAAAAAAAGTTAAAACCAGAAGGTATACTTGAGCATAAATATACATTCTTAAAAAATGGGGCAAGGAAGGATCTGGGATCCAGGCAGGAATAGCCTTGGTGCCTGCCAGATGCATTGGGACCACAACTCCCATCATTCCCAGCCAGCGTGGCCAGTGAGGGGAGCGCCAGCCCTGACACATCCCAAAGGTACCAAGTTGGGAAAGGCTAACTCAGAGCATGTATGTTGCAATTTGGGTGACAGAAGAACAATCCCTTCTCCTGTCTCTAAGCATTTGCTCTCAGGCACAGAGGAAAGAATTGGAGAAAGACTAGCGTGGGGTTTTGACCGGCAGAGCGCAGCCGGCACATGCATGGACCTCCTCGGAAGTGTGTGTTTCTTTTGGGGCTATCCTGTGTTTGGGGCCCCCTGCTAGCTGCTCCTCATCATGCCACTTGACGGCTGAAGCAAGGCGAGCCAGTGGCAGCCCCACAACGGCAGCGGAGGGGCCTGCCCCAACAGGATCCCCCTGGGATGGGTGGGCTGCGCTGCAGGGGCAGCCGCACGGCCTCTCAGGACACTCCCTGCACTAGAGAGTACAAGGCAGAGCCACAGCTCAGGGTCAGAGCACACGCTCCACAGGCCGGAGGCGATGGTCCCCTGGCAACCTCGTCAGTGAAAGGGATGTGAACAAGCACCCTGCGGAGCGGTCTGACAGCACCGGTTCTTTTCAATATTATGTCCTCAATCGAACCAATAGCCAGTGTTCTTGGAGTGGGTAAGAAACAACAAAAAGACAGAAATGCCACACGAACACGGCCATACTATGTTGGAGGGCCCATGAAACCATCTGGCTGTAGAGACTTGCTGGATGCACATGATACAAGCACAGAGAGGGAGGGAGAGAGGGAAGCTGGAGAAAGGGAGCGGCCTCTGGCAGGCAGAGGGAACTTACGAGGAACAGGGCAAGCTGCCGCCTCCCTTCGGGCGTCATGTCTTCACCTGGTTTAGAAAAGAGCAGAGGTCGGGGAGATGAAACAGGAAAGGCAGGACACGTGAGGTGCGACTCCGAGTGCCTCCCCCACCAGCCCCGACAGCCTGGACCTGTTTTCTTTTTGGTATTTGGCAAAGAAGTTGTGGTGAGGGTGTGTGGAATTGTGTATATTCAAGTATACAAGTTCAGGCCATTAAATTCCATCAGCCTATCAAGTCTCCTGCATTATCTGCCTCTTGCGATTCAGACACATGTCTGAATTCTCCAACATGTGGCCACCTAAGCACCTTTCACAGCCTTGCAAAAAACAACCCTCATTTGTAGGCAGCTTCTACACTGAACAGATCTCACCCTCTGGCTCTTCTCTTTTCCCATAGATCGGCTTGTTCTGAACTCCAGTCCCGTCATGGGCTCATCCAGTTAGAGGCAGGTGATTCAACCTGCCACGTGCTCATCCCTGTGCCAGAAACTATCCGTGTGATATTACTGGCCACCTATTCTCCGTCCCACAGTTTCTGTGGCCACTCTGGGTAACGTTTCCCTGAAATATCCACTGGCCAGTTCAAGCCCAGCCTACCATCATTCTGCAACCTGTTTGGATTCCCCAGTTCCCTGCCTCCCATCTCCCTCATCTCCCCTGCAGCACAGGCCTCACCGACACTCCAGGGAAATTCGCCTCCGTCTTCGGCCTTGTACGATTTCAGCACAGACAGACACCAGTCGTCTTCTACTTCGTAGCTACTATAAATGGAGGCTAAGATGACAAGTGCTCGGCATGAGTATTTGGCACTCTGTGGCCTGAATGTCAGTTGGCGGCAGAGGTGATGTGATTCTCCATGTCGTAAGTTACCTCAGACACAGCACCACTAATGTGCGCCCGTGAATTCTGATTTAGTTTGGAAGAATCACTACATTTTTTTCATGTGCCTTTCTGTTGCAGTAGCCCCAACATGCCACCTTTTGCCCAGCCTCCCATCTATAGCCACTCAGCTCCTTTAAAAGGCCCTCTGAGCACGTACTGCAGGGGGTCAGAACCTCCATCTCATGGGCCAAATCAGGTCCGTTGCTGGGACCACGCGTGTTCTGCCATACTCCTTTTCCCCAAGTTGTTGTTCATCCGGTGGCGCTTTCCTGAATACTGTGTAGTGTCGGTCTCTCCCGTTGGCTGCCCCATTCCAGAAAGCTGAAATGCCTCTTCTGAGGCATAGCTACTAGCAGTAAAAGCTTTACGATAAAACGGACAGGTGTTTTTGGCCCCGGCCCTGGGATGCTTCTCTAAAATACGTTAGACATTCCTGAGGCACAGAATGTCTTTCCCTCTTTTTCCTCTGCTAGGCAACGGTATCCTGCCCCCGGAAAAAAATTAGCATTAAAGAACAGGCTATTCTTCCGGAATAGGTAAGAGGGCCTTCACACTGACCTTGTTAACTCTGGCACCATCACAGAACTTAAACATTGCACCACATTTTTTGGTAGCATGCAAAATCACAGATCAATTGTCTTAAAAATATGCAGTACTTTGAACTTTTGGTGGTGCTTTTGTTCCATTACTAAACCTTCTGCTGGGACATCACACCTGTCCTGCTCATGCACTGCCGCTCACACAGGTGGGACGCAGGGCCTACGGGTGGAGCACTTTACCTTCCTCCATGGGCGTGGAGGCTCCCAGCCACTCCCGAACAACTCTCACGCCCTCTTCAGCCATGACTTTGGGATACCTAAGACAGGAATAAGATGGTTCAAAGAGCTTTTGATCAGCTCCAGCTTGCTACCTCAGAACCGGCACAGGGTGGGCTTGTTCTCCTTTCAAGGATGCCCTGGGTAGCCAAGTCAGTAATGATCAATTCAGCATAGATTTGTATTCAGTATTAATTGCATTTAGTATTCATTTATTTTCTGGCTGTATGGAAATGGAATATATGATACCATCATCACCAATGCATTCTTCAAAATGCTATATTAATGCACTCCTTTCAAGGCTAATCAGACAGGATCCAAAATGTGCCTGTTTGAACTTGGTTCTGGAAAAAAAGAATTAACGAACTGCAATTTAACTGCAATGCATGCACACAGGCATGCATTCATTCCCTGTACCAGTGCTCTTTGGGTGGTTTACAACAGATCAACCTAAATATGGCAACACTTGATCAGGGTGTAAGCACTGAGTCACTGTTAAATCTCAAGGAAGCAGAGCAGGGAGTTTTGAATCAGCATGGACAAAAGCTAAATCGGGAGGTCCTGGTAAATCTCTGAGTGATCTGTAATAGATTGGCAAGGATTTTGGGACTCCTCGCAGTCAATCGTTAGATGCTGGGGAACATGGGTGTGGGGAAGGACGCTGTTGCACTTATGTCCTGCTTATGGGATGCTGTGGGCAGCTGGCTGGCCACTGTGTGAACGAAACACGTGTGTGTGCTTTTAAAAGAGGGAGTGTTGCCCCAGGGCAGGCACCAAGAAAGATGTCTGGGTGAACACTGGCGTACATAGGCAGCGTATGGCCGACCGCTACTGTAAACAGTTTGGGCCAGGAGGTCTGAAAGCTCGTTTCCTCTGGAGTCTGTCTGTAATCTGTGTTTGTCAACTGAGGCCGTTAAGCGCCCATTCAGCAGAGAGGTGACGCTGTTGGGTACTAGAGACGGGGTCTTTTGCATAGTGGCACCTCAGTTTGTGGATTTCACCCCCTAAGCAGGCTACAGAGTTCTTTATTTACTGTCCTTTAGAGGGCTAGAGAGAAGAACATAGATCAGTTACGGCTTTATTGGTTAATATCGCTCTCTGATTTGCTATTGCTCTCTGGTTTTGTGGTCTTTTTTGCTTGTCTTTTGTTGACATATTTTTACCAACTTATTTTATTTGTAGGTTGCATTGAGCAATCTCTACGTAGAGAATCCATAAAACATACTAAATAAAAAATAATGTTCACTCACCTATGTGTCAGTAACTTCAAAAGCAAATTATTCCCTCTATTGGACATTATATCATCAGGAACTCTGGAAATGCAGGAGGGGACAGAATTAAAACAGTATGACTGGGTAATTTCTACCAAAGAGATAAGAGTCCTCCTGAATTATACAGGTTGCCTCTGCCCTGAAGGATGACAATTATATACAAACTACTTTTTAATTAACTCATCTTTAACATCTGAACCAGGCCAGACAGAGCTTAGCATTGCTGCTGGGGCATCTTCGTATCCTTCTTGACTGCTATTTCACTCACGTTGTGGTGATGATCTCATCCTTGGTTCTGCGCACCAGCAACACGGGCCCCTGATACCTGAAAAGTAAGCAATGGCAAAAGATGTGCTTTGTCTGGGAGGCACACCTGAAAACAACAAATGTTCCACACAACTAGTCACTGGCCCAGTTCGGCTGGCTATATCTCTGCTTTCTGGGCTGAGATACATATGAACCTTTGCGTAAGCCAGAATTAAACCAGGAAGTCTCTAATTAACCACCATTCCCCATTCATCAAAACCAGAAAAGAATAGTTATCAGCTTTGGAGCAAGGCAGGAGCCTGCTTCATATATAAGGAGATGCCGCTGTGGGCGAATTTCCCCTTGGAGCTTCTCTTTGTGGTGGCCACTGCAACTTTCGAATGTCCAAGCAGGGCATGGTAGGAGTGTGTCACCGCTGCTCATTCCATGAGAACCTGGAGAGGCTGGCTGTCCACCAGCTTAAAGCAGCCCACTGGTTTTGGGTGCCTTGTCAGCCACCTCAACAAGCCACCTTTGGCAGGTCTGCGCATAACAGGAAGCTAAGCCAAGCTCTTGCCATGCCCTGAACATCCAAAATGGGAGCTGCTGCCGCCGCCGCCGTGTTCATAAACCCTTCAGGGAAATCCATGCATGGGGACTTCGTATTATGTGCAAATCAGGTCAGGATCTTAAACCAACTTCTAAGGGGTTTGCTTTAAAACTGGTAATCATGGTTCCCCATTTCCCCTGACCCAGATTAGAGACTTGTTGGTTTAGTTACAGCCTGTACCTGGATGTACTGGCAAATTCTACACATTCTGTGCGGAACCCTGTATACCAGGGGTGCAGAATTGGAATTGGGTGGGGGACTAAACTGTTCCCCACCAAGCCCTCTCTGGGTTGGATGACGTCAACCTCCCCACGGACTCCGGCCATTCTCCACACTGAGAGAAGCATGGAGCTCCATGACCCTCCCAAGGTGGAAAAAGGGACTCAGGCGATGCTGGGAGAAGCGGCTGCTCCAGCAGAGCCTCTGGCTCTGCACAGCACGGCAGGGGGCCCCACGCACTGGCCAGGGCAAGAGCAGAGACTCCTCCAAGGCGCAGGCCTGGATGCTCTGCCCTGCCTCCTGGGGTGCTCTGCAGGCCAGAGGTCCCACATCCTTGCAGTATTTCATGGCAGCCCCATAGTGCTGAACCCTAACCCTGCCGTGGACGTGGGCGCGACCAGGCCTACTTTCGTGCCCCTGCAGCCTGCCGAAGGGCCACTTCATCAGCCGTATTTCCAAGTCTCTCTCCTCAGAACCCTTTCCAGATGTGTTTCCAGGCAGTGAGAAAGGCAGAGCTGTGCAGTAAAGCCAATCTTCCTTAGCTCCTTTCATTTTCCAGCCCCCTTCCTCAAAGTGCACAATGGCGTTTATAATAAAGTGTAGGATTTGAAGACCGTGGCAAATGAGGCAAAGGGCATTCCACTCACATAATGCGGTCCCCTTCCTTGCTTCTCCCTTGCATACCACTCCGGGGCACATTTGGAGAGGTGCAGGAGGAAGGGAAGAGTTTGATCCACCAGCAATGCCAGTTCCACTGCATACAATCCTGCAGGACAGCCTTTCAGCTCATTTTCACATCCCCTTATTGTGGACGAGCATAAAAACAACAACAAATCCCAACCTTGTTTGTTCATTGGACTCTACTTTCATCCTGCCCAGTGGCAAAATTCCTCTGGGCAGATTACCAACACTATTGCTGCTGTCACATAAGATAAGCTGCCGTCACATCTGGCCCTTCCTTCCTTCCTTCCTTCCTTCCTTCCTTCCTTCCTTCCTTCCTTCCTTCCTTCCTTCTTATTTCTGCCAGTGCCCTTCAGTGCTCAGCCTTTCCCTCTGCAAGCTCCCTGCCCACTTACCAGCAAAGCTGCTCCCCATTGTTCAGGTTCAGATGTTGCCGCACTGTCCGGGTGACCAGGCCCCCTGCAGAACAAAGGAAAGACGTTACGTCCGCCTTTTCTTCCACAAGCGTGATCCTCACGCAAGCCCTCCCCACACACCCGTAACTCCTGGCTGGACTGTTTTCAAACTGCAAATCATGCAGTGGAGGCGTGGAGAGGCCTGGACAGGGATGGGGGGCAATGGATGCCTATGGCCCACTGGCACATCAGACAGCCTTGGCCTGTTTGGATGATTGCAAACAAAAGGAGAGAAAGTTCTCAGGTGCCCAAAGCTTTTTGGAATAAAACTTCTCCCTTCCTGGGGGGCCAGATGTCTTCTTCATCAAAAGAGATACTGGGACATTTCAACACAGAAGAGACAGCAGGATTCTTTTGTGATATACCTGAAGACAGGAAAGTGGTCCCTGAGGAAGGATTAGGAATTGCATCTTCTTTTGCAAGATACAAGACTGGGTATCAAACTGGCTTTACCCATCCCTAGTTTGGAAAGACACGTGGGCGGAGGGCAGTGAAGGCCATGCAGTCCCATGCATGGGGAGGGAGCAAATGCTTGGAAAGCAGGGTGTCCTATGTTCAATTCCTGGCACCCCAAGTTAAAATAGTCTCAGGTGGAAGGCTGGGAAGCCTTGAAGATCCACTGCCAGTTGGAACAGATGAGGAGTAGGCACCTGCAGAAGCTCTGCAGACGCTTTGGATTACAATTCCCACAATCCCTGACCATTGGTCAGTGCCGGCTGGAACATACGGGAGTTGTGCTTTAAACCATCTGGAAGGGGCCACGTTGTCCACCACAGAATGGTCAGTGCTGGGGCAGGCAGATCAGTTATTCGATTCCAGATAAGGCAGCTGCACGTCTGTGTTCAAGCCCCTGTGGATTCCATGAAGCTTACCCCGAAGCGCTCAAAGAATCAAAGAACGATAGAGTGGGAAGGGGCCAAGAGGGCCACGGGGTCCAACCCCTGCGCAATGCAGGACTCAAGTTCAACCATCCCTCTCAGATGGCCTTTTAGTCACATCCTGAATGCCTCCAGTGTGGGAGAGCCCACAACCTCGCTGGGCAGCTGGTTCCACTGTCGTGCTGCTCCAACAGTCAGAAAGTTCTCCCGATATCCAGCCAGAATCTGGCTCCCTGCAACTTGAGCCTGCTATTCCATGTCCTGCACTCTGGTAGGGGCGAGAAGGAACCTTGTCCTTCCTCTGTGACGGCTTTCGGGTACTTGCAGAGTGCCATCTTATCTCCCCTCGGTCTTCTCAAGGCTAAACCTGCCCAGTTCTTTCAATTGCTCCTCATAGGGCTTTGTCTCAGTCCCCAGATCATCACTTTCTCTAAACCTTTTCATTGAGGTGTTATTCACTAACTCAACACATCTTCTGTACCCCTCAAACACATGCTAAGCATGTACATTCCTAAAAACAAATAATTACAAGTACACCACACATTTTCAAGTGCCTGGTCCTCCAAAAGGAAAATCTTTTGGTGACCCACCCTTACCACCCGCTGCTCGGGAAAGCTCAAAAGCAAACCCTCCACAGGAACCATGGATGTCACACACCCATCCACTGTTGTGGGTAAAACTGTGAGGGGTCAGAAAGGGTCCAAGCGGGAGCTGGTGAACAGAAGGAGCATGTAGGGGTAGGGACACAGCACTAACTCCAAATAGGTTGTCACGGCACCAGGAGAAATACTTCCACCTCTCACTGAAACCCGCCATGAGATTTGGGAAGAGAGTTATGGCAATAGGCCATAGCATGTGACTAAAGACCAAGAACTATGGTGACGGGACAGTAAAACCTCCCTATAAAGTCAGATCTCCCAAACCACAGAAGACAGACGCACATCCCCAGGGTGACTGGCTAGGGGAGACAGTGACCTCCTGTTGCGACTGACAAGGCTCTAGGGAAACCTTCTCAGGGATGACACAGTATCCCACAAGTGCGTAATATGGAGGTTGACCCTTCCAGGATTGTTCTGAAGCAGCTTTGCCAGCCTGGTACCCTCTAAATGCACCGCCCGCAACTCGCGTTGGGTCTGGAAGAAGGGAGAGTTCTTCCCCACACATCTGGAGGGCACCAAGCTGGGGAAGGCTGTGCTCTGATGTCGTGTACCTTAAGTGGTCTGAGCGTGAAGAAGAAAAGAGGTGCTGTCTATCAAGGATTGACTCATGGCATGAGAGAGGACCTGGGCAGATGTGGGTCCTTTTAAAAGAGTGTCTCTAAACCATTTGACCATAAAAGGATGTGCATTTTTTGAACTTTCCCCTTACTCCAGCTTTCCGGCATGACCTTGAGGGCAAGAGGAACGAGGTCATCGAAGGACGCGTCCAGAATAAGGCCGCTGATATCTGGGTATGACATGGCGGCCCAAGTGGCTGTCATAGGGAGAAAACAGAAAGAGAAGGGGGCAGTTACTATGTGAATGAAATGTGGGAATGATGAAGCAGGGGCGTATCAAGAGGCCTTAAAGCCACCTGCTCCTCCACCCTGATTCAAAGGTATGAAGCATTCCCATCGTCGATGGAGCTCTCCCACTCTCAGGTATGTGTCATTCCATCTCAAGGGAACCCCTCGCGCGGGCCCAGCCCGACCCGGCGGCTCCCACCGGCCTTGTTCGGTACCTGTAAAGCCCCCAATGGACCAGGCATAGAGGAGGATGTCCTCGGGAAGGAAGCCCAAGCGGTGGATGGCGTACTGCATCACCACGTCCATGGCATTGGCCTCGTTCTGTGGCAGCGGCACTCCCTGAGGCAGGCCGGGGGCAAAGGTTAGTGCACAGAGAAGCTGGAAGGGAGAACTTTCGAGGGAGAACAGCGGGGCAGAGAGCCTGATCGGGGAGATCCTGGCCTTCCTTCCTCTTGGCTTCACTGCACGAAACCCCTTCCGGTATGTGCTCTCGGTGTCCTGACTTGCCTCTTGAGATCAGGCCTCACTCCCACGCCAGGCTGCTCACTCCTGGCACTGGGAAGTTCTGGGCATGATTCCATCCTTAGGGCTGAGCTATTTCCCAAACACCTTGAGACCGTTTTGCAGGGCAGTGCTGCATATTACAAGTACTACAGGAAATTGGCATTTTCCATAGTGGAAATGTATATGCAAAATCACAAATGGCATGGCCCTTAATGACAAGCATAGCATAGTTAGGCCTTCCTCAGTGCAGAATAGATTAGGCTTAAATCAATAGTCCTGCTGCTGAAATAGGGAGTCTCTTCATAGCTTTAGGCCTGATTGAACAACACAGCGGGTGATCACAGGATAAGAACCCAAAAGTAGCACAGTATGCATGGCCACCATTTTGAATATGCAACCTCTGAGCAGGGCAACTGGGAGCTGTAGCATGTTGCACCAGCTTGCCCATTGTGGGATAATCAATAATCAGACAACCCACAGTTAATCCCCCAATTAATCAAGAGTTAAACCTGGATTAACCCTTGATTAACCCACAATGGCTGGGTTCACATGACATGCTGTAATCCAATAGGAAATACAGAAATGTAAATAACAACAACACTCAAAATTGCAGCTTCCAGCACCCCGTATACTCTGCAGCTAGCCATGGGTTAATCAATTTACCCTATGATTGGGTAAAGAATATCAATTAATGCTATTATCAGGAAATACCTGATTTCATTTTAACAGATTTATGGTGTGGGAATTTAAAAGCTTCAAATTCTCCGAGGCAGCCTCCGTAAGGACACAATAGTATCTTAGAAAACAGAGATCCAGGTGTGCCGAGAGCAAACAAATGATTTGTTTTGCTTGGGAGGGTATAAACATGCGCCACATGAAGAACGGGGCCTTTCAGGGCAGAAGGGAGAAACAAAACCATCTAGAGGCCTGATACTTCATGAAAGGGGCCGACATGGCTCACCTGACACTGTAATAGTAGCGGAGGTGATTTATCTGCCATAACGCCAAGACTGTGAAACCGAGATACCTGACACTTGGCATGCATGCTGCTGGGGCCTCGGGGGTTATTCGGCTTTTAAAATGCATCACTCAACTAGAATTAAGTAAAGTGTGTCGGTGTGATGGCACACCTTCAGTTCCAGAGTCAATGCAGGCTGCAGCCACAGGAAAGCAGGGGCCAAGGGGCAGAGATACATCCCTGACTCCCCTGCCCCTCAACTGTGGCACAGGCTTCCTCTGGGGGAACAGGGCGGCAGACCCCTCCCTCCGGGAGATGCTGTGGCAGGGGGCACGCCTGGGGCTGCCAGCCAAGGCGACATCGCTCTGGCAGGGCAGGCCCCCCGAGTCCAGCTCTGACATCCGTGTCAGCTTGCATGAAAGGCCAGCTGTACCCAACCAAGGGCTGCTCCACCTTGTGCAAAATTGGGCCCATCTGCCAGTTAGAAAAAAGGCAGCACGTTTAACTGCCCTTCTGTTCAGACTGATAGCTCTTAGGCTCGTTTGGCCAAACAGCTGCACTTCTAAGTGTGCACTGATCACTTTTTATTCTTCGCACAGCACTCTCGAACACCCAGTCTGGTGCTCGCAGTGTGGCATTCTATTGCTACATATCAGATGGTAACAGTGCAGCTTTGCTGTGGGAGGGCTAATAGTGCTGGTATCCTACTCACGTTTTCAAAGGAAAATGGGAAGTGCAGAGAGAAATTAAGCTCAAATTCCCAAAATTATAAGTGAAGGATACGTGCTTAAAAGGAATGAGTGTGCGGAGGTGGAGGTCTTTCTCATGCACAGAGTTAGGCAGGCCCCACCCCAGCTCTACACAAATTTATCTGACTCTGAACGGGTCTGTCAATATTGGATTTATTTGGATGCCATCAACCAGCTGACACAAATAATAATCTTGGTATCACTCACTGTGCTGCCTGCAAATCCAGGGTGATTCCATCCCAGCACTGAATATCCAGCTACAAGACAGAAAAGGAACTGAAAAATTGGAAAAGGGCCAGGAAAATACACAGTATCCCAGGCTGAGAAAGAGTTGGGCCAAGTCTGCTCTCCCTTTCTGCATTTGGAAAGAAACGAGAATGGTTACATACAAGAGCAGGTGAGCACACCAGCAAATTTTAGCTTCAAGTTCAAGGTCAAGTCTTAACAAAGGCATTTCAAAGTTTTATTGAACTGGGAAGAACGGAACAAAAGCCGGAAAGTGAAAGTTGGGGGAAGGGAGTACATGGGTTGGATCCCGACCCTGGGCCAGAGGTCCAAAGCATACTGAGCAAGGGCACCTGCTCACTTTATGTGACTAAAGAGCAATTTGCTACGAGTACAAAGGGGCAAGCTGAATGGAAGGGAATCCGTTGCGGTGAATCCAAAAAGATGCTTTTCCCTTTCAAAACAGAGCAATGAAAAGGTCCAGGACAACCTTCTATTATGCTAACACTTTGTATGGGACACAAAACTAAACAGGACGAAAGGGACCATACCATCTAGGGGAGTGGAAAGGCAGCCAATTTCATAGAAGCCTGCATTTCCTTCACAGCAAATCACCTACAGAAACGAAAAACAGGGAGGGGTTACTTTGAAAGCCAGCAGGAAACTAATGCACCACAATCTAGAATTGCAAGGGCTTCCCCCTCTTCCTGCCTCCAGGCAGTGTCCTATGCATGCTGATCAGCCGAGCCTGCCAAAGAAGTAACACCGATTATGCGCTAGCTCTGTGGCTCTGGTTGGTAAATTAACTGGGGACACTGAGGAGATGGATTAGTCCCAGAAGACGAGCACTGAGAATGAAGAACCATTGACTACTTGGGCAGCCTCCAGAGGATCACCCATCTCCACCTAAGAGGCCAAGCCAGCTTCCTTGTGTGGCAGCCGCATGGTTACCAACATGCCTGGTTGCCACAGGTGACTGGGAAATTCACGCAGGTGAGAGGACACCAGAAGCAGGAGGAACTGCTCTGTCACTCCTCTGGCACCCTGTGTGGTTTTCATGCTAGCTGTGGAGGAAGGAAATTGCTTTCCTCTGTAACCAGCATGAAACCACTGACTGCAAGCCTCTTATGACTAGCAGCCTTTGTGGTCCCTTTTATGGAGTTGTTTTTCTATAGAAATGGGGAGTACGGAAGCCAACTGGTGACAGGATCTGTGGAATTCAGCACTGTTATTTGGTACCAACTCACCAGTTTCTGGCCTTGTGGCTCTGATGTCTCTCTCCGGTCCATGAACATGGTGTCGATTTCATTTCCATCACACGTGGCCAGCTTTGCTCGTTTCCCATTGCACTGCAAAGAGAAGAAGAGAACATTGACTGGGAATGTCTGCTGCCTTTCTTTAACCGCCGCCAATGCCTGGCTTCTCAGGGAGACAGGCTGGAGCGGAAAGCCTGAAGCTGGGAAATGTGTTAACTGGGAATGGCGAAATGGTAGAAGCGCCACCTGCAGGCCGGCGGGGGCTGGGTAGGTGGACGGGAGCCTAGAATCTCAGCCAGCAAATACTCACCTCCTCCACCAGTCGGGCTTGTCCTTGAAGCAAAACAGGCATAAGGGCCTTTTGCAGCAGGTACATGGAGCCTGGGTATAGCATGCGCCGCCCAAAAGTGTGCGCCACTATATAGCTATTGAGAAAAGAGGAGAAAAGGGGCTGGAGTCTCTTGCAAGATGGAAGTCTCTTGTCCAGCTCTGCACTGGGGATTTTCTTTTCCTGCAACAGCTTCAGCGCAATTCTCCCTGCAGTATCGGATGCCCATTTCTAGGCAACTCCTTACATGAACCGTCTCTGCCCACGTGGAAAGGAAGGATAACCTGCAAGACCCTCTGGGTAGTAAGTGACTTATTTACTGGCTGATGACAACAAATATGTAACAGACACTGTTGCTCAGTTTTTATTTTCTGTAGTTAAGAGCCATAAGGATATTCTCCAGTCCTAAATGCAATATCTTGGGAGATGTCTTAAAGATGCTACTGTATTTAGGTTTTATATATGTCAAGCAGTTGTCAGACTAATTTTTTTTAATAGCCATGGATTATGTTTTATAGATCATCTGTGTTTTAATTGATTATTTGTGCCTTATGTGGTCTGTGACCATATAACAAGTGAATGGATGTTTATGAATGATTATGAAGGGTGGAAAAGCTAGCAAGACAGAAAGTTACTTGGCTCTCATCGTCCCAGCTGCCAACGAAGCAGGACCCACACAGCAGACACGCCTGATCAGCCACGATAGCAAAGGAGTAACACAGAGCGCCTAGACGGGCTCCCCAAATCCCGGCGCTTGTCCCGCTTGCCAGTGCACAGCCACATCGAAGTGGCACCCAGAGCTTCACTGTCTTTGTTCCACATCCCATAGGAACAGCCAACCACCCACTAGAAGGCATCCTCCCAACATTTCCAGTCATTCTCTCACAAATGATTCTCCCCCATTGCTAGACAATTTCTAGGAACTCTGCTTAATATACTGAAGCTTGTCACAAACACCTTTGCAATGATCCTCATCTCTCAAGATTTATGGCTGGCCTTCTGTTTCCGGGCCACAGCTGAAACAAACATGCCAATTTCCATCGCTACTGTATACTCCCGTTCTTTAATGAACTCACAGGACATTAATTTACCAAATTCATGAAGGTCTTTACAATATGAAGCTGCTACTCCTAACTTTCAGAATACAGCTATATGAGAAAGGCTGAACGACACCTTGAAAATAATCACTACAACATACTACAATCAAAATTGACTGACTAATCAGTTCCCAGGTGTTAACTCTTCCTTTGACTTCTCAAACAGCCTTAGGCATGACAGCGGTATGCCGTATCTTTCCATGTCATTCTGAAGCAGGAAGCTGCCTGGCACTTCATAGCTAGTCCTCAGCTGGAGGCCAATGAGCACTTCTGTGTGCCGAGATTCCACATGTCCTCCTCTTGGGCCAGCCATTCAGTATCTTTCCTTCTCAACATTCTGCCCTCTTCCTCCATTAGCCAACTGGAAACTGTCGAGCAGCCAGCTGGTCCTTCAGCACTGAACTCACACTGCAACAGGCCCCAGCACAAGCCCTGTTGATGTGCAGACTGCTGAGCAGCCTTACATCCACACTACTCTGGGTCTGCACAAGCTCTCTGTTCCCCCAGCCACACTCACAAAGGGCAAAGCACGAGCAAGAGGTATACCTGGCAATCTGGCAGGGCATCTTCTTGACAGCATGCAGGAAGCCATTGACAGTGCTTCGGTGCTTTGGTTCCGGCCGCAACAGGGGAACGTTTCGTGAATCTGACCTGTGGGGGTTACAGGTCAGGACAAAGTTGGAAACTACCGCACTGACTTCATTCAGAGAGGAGAGTCTGTGTCATGGCTACTGCAAGAGAAGCCGAGAAGTGCACAAAATCAAACTATCTTGCCCCATCTCAAGAGATTACAAAGAAAGGGTGCACATCAGAAAAGGGAATTCGTGTGCATTGTCCACTGAATGTGCAAAGTCTCCAAGGGACAAATATACACAGTGACTGAGAAATGTCCAAAATATGTAACTGATGGTCAGATGTGCTTCATGTTGGCTGGCTAATATGCACATACCCCCAGAGCCATTCATATGAGCATTCCTCTAGATGTCTGGTGAATGTGGGCAATGGCTGACACGCATCGTCTCACATCAACTACACACAAGAGCGAGGAAGTCTGCTGCTTGCTTTTCTAAGAAAGAATTACTAGTTTCATTTCTGGAAAGGGAAAGAGGGTTGGAGAGAAGAGAGGCTATACGAGAGATGGGAAGGCTCTTGGCAGTTCGCTCTCCCACAACCCACCGGCTTGTTGCCTCGTCCCACCGAAAGTCCACAGGCCAACTCCGGAAGTCAAAGTTGTAGCTGGCAAGTTTCTTCTGCAAGGAAGAAAAGAGAAGCTGATGGGAAAACCACCCTGATGAAAGTAGGATCAACCTTTCAGACAAAGGCTGGGTGTGAGATAAACTTCCTCTGTTTTAAACTTGCACATGAGATTCTACCATAGGATCAAAGAATGTGCAAATAGATCCAGACAGAGGTAGAGTACAGCACAAAACGGCACTTCCCATCACAGAAAAGCTATTGTAAGGACAAAGAGGTGGTCTACCTAGATAGTAGCTAACAGGACTGGAAGCCTGAGAAGCAAAGGACTGCAAGCACCAGAGTCACTGGAGGGCACAGATGGACCACCATTATTGCCAGGGCTGACTCATGCGGGGCCGCCTGGACGCTGGACTGCAGCTCCTGTCCACCCTCATCATTGCCCACGTTTGCAAGGAGTGATGGGGACTTCAGACCAGCAACTCCTGCAGGGGCTCCAGTCACCACCCGAGTCTTATCGAGTCATCGGAGGGGAGCTGGGAGTCTAACACAGGCCGGCAAGAGCTTCTTGGAGTTCCTGGCCCAAGTATGTCAGCTCGTTCAGCTTTAGACTGAAGTGGATACGGGGGACATAGCCTTCGTTGTTTAGCCACAGCTGCTCCCATGCAATAGGCATAGCTCAGATTCACACTGACGTGCAAAGGTTTTCGGATTAGCATCCGATCAGGATGGTGCCTGAGTCAGACCCACTCCTACCTTGTGCTCAGACGTGCCATACCGGTGTGCGTCCTCAAGGATGGTGATGAACTGGATGTACTGAGGGTTTGTCCAGCGACCGATACCTGGGAAGAAGAGGCAGCACTTTTGTGACGGAAGCTTTGCCACCCCCTTTGCGTGGAACCCTCTTGGAAGAAGCATGCTGGGAAGGGCAACACCCCCCCCCCTGGCCTTTTCCGTGGCTCCCAACGACCCACCATAAAAAGTAGCAGTTTGAGCTGCAGCAAAATCAGGTCAGTTTTAAAGAAAACGGGTTCTTCTGTGCTGCATGCTGCCAAATGTTGGCAGCAAAATGAGCAGCTGGAGGGCGGGGCTGTGTCTCCCAATGGGTGCATAGGTGTGATAGAGAAACTGGGCCCCAGACCTTCAGAGGGTGCCCACGCTTGGCCTACACAGTGCCACCTCTCCTCTCCTTCACAGCTCTCCTCAGAACCCCTCATCTAGGACGAGGCACCCCAGCATTCTGTTCACACAGTGGCAAACCAGTGGCCTTGGGAATCTCTTTGCTGGAGCCTTTGGCTGAGCAGCAACAGCATTCGGTGCTCTTGCACATTTTCCTTCCTCACTGGCTTCTCTTTTAGTCCCCCACCCTCTGCATAGTTGACGTTTCAGTGGAAAGCTCCATGGGGCAGGGAGTTTTTAGTTTGCTTTTATTACCCTGTAAAGTGCACACATCGTGAAAGCGTGCTTTTGTTTTTACTATGTAAAAGTAGATGTTCTTATTCTCAGTATCCAGGGAATTCATGGCTCCTTGATTTACGACCCAGATTCCCAACCCTTCAGATCCCAGGAGGCACTCACCTCGGAGGCAGGCAATCCCAGCCAACAAGAGCAGCATGGTCCCCGCATAGTGAGAGAAAGCAACAACCTTGGACATCGTTAAATAGCCTAGAAAGAGAGAAAAAGACACACACACACACACACACACACAATTAATTTCCTTGTATTGATGAAACGGTGTTTGAAAAAATAACAGCTTTCTCTGACCAGGTGCCTTCCAGACGTTTTTAACTACAACTCTCATTATCCCTGAGCATTGGCCACCCTGGATGGGGCTGATGCAGGTTGTCGTCCAAAAATATCTGGAGGGCGTCAAGTTTAGAAGGGGGATTTATGCTCTGTTGTGGGAAGGATAACACAAGTGCCTATTTTACCATGCCTGTGTGTGTGTGTGCGCACACATGTGCATGCATGTACATGCATATGAGAGAGGGAGTCAACTGGCACAACAGCTTCCCAGCATGCACACTTAAAGAAACCAGTGCTCCCATTTGCAAACTTGCAAGAACATCCACCACCAGTGGTGCGTCCAGGGCACACAGACCCTTTTAGCTTTTACACCAAAGGATGACACCATCTCATTAGCTTCCAGAAAGAGGTGGTCCCATGTGCCTTCAGACCGTGTTCTTGGACCTGCTGATTTCGTTAGCTACCCTGAGTCAATAGCAAGCTGCAGGATTTTTTTTTTTTTTAAATCAAGTGGGATCTGCGACAAAATTTCGCAGCACAGTCTCAGTTCCTAGCAGGGAAGCTTCTGCTTGAGGTTCCTGCCTGCAAGACAGCCACGCCTTCCTCTAGGATCATATAAGCTGCAAGAAGCTTCAAGCAAGGCATTCCAGCCCCCTAGCTCATCTTTTTTCATTTCAGTCTTCAAGCCTAATAATAAAAATCCCCTAAGTACTGCTCATGCCTACTGAGGGCAAAAGAATAGCCTTGCTCTGCCAATGGCAGACTCCAGGGTTCTTCCGCAGAAGATTGCATCTCCCTCAGGGGCTCAGCTTTGGCAGAAATCCTATTAGCACTCACAACCTGAGTTCACCACTGCACAGGGTGACACACGAATGTCATGTGTAACACAAAAACATGTCTACCAGATGCAGCACATGGCTCCTATGTCAGTAGGGCTCCTAATCCATTGCAGTTTTTCACTGTGGCTAGTTCCTATAATGTTCAAAGGAAAAGCTGGAATGGAGTCTCCCCCAGCCTAACCCCTTGGCCTGGAAGCTACCATGAGCTTGAAGCATGGTGCCTTTTAAACAAATTATTTCAAGCTGCAGGACAGAATCATAGAATAGGAGGGTTGGAAGGGGCCAAGAAGGCCACTGGGTCCAACCACCTGTTGTTGCAGGACATCAGTGTACACCATCCCACTAAGATGGATGTCCAGTTTCTTTTTTAATGTTTCCAGAGTGGGACAGCCCACCACTTCGCTAGGCAGCTGGTTCCACTGTCATGTTGCTCTGACAGTGAGGAAGCTTTTCCTGATATCCAGCCTGAATCTGGGTTGTCACAACTTGAACTGATTATTCTACACTCTGGCATCAGCAAGAAGGGAGCTTGACCTTGCTCTCTGTGAGGTACTTCTAGACGGATATTATGTCCCCGCCTTCTCTTCTTCAGGCTGAACATGCCCAGTTCTCTCTGTCTCTCCTCACAGGACAATGTTTCCAAACCCTGGATCGTTTTTGTTGCCCTCCTCTGGACTCTTTCTAGTTTTTCTGCATCTTTCTTAAATCTTGGTGCCCTGAACTGGACACTGTATTCCAGATGAGGCTCTCACATAGCTCAGCAGACAGTCTGGGGAAACTCATGTATAACAGTGTCATTGTTTGTTAAATCTGACCTCCTCAGGGGAAAAATAAGTACTCAAGATGGTTCAGCTATTTATACATGTAAAAGCTAAGGGTGTTGAAGTGGTGGTGGGGTATGAGCTGTATTTAGATAGGAGGCAACTGGGAGCCCCTTGTAGGCTGCTCTGAGTTCACTCCCATTCAAGTCCTAAACAGGCCTCAGCCTGCTTAGCTTCTGAGATCCAATGAGACTCGGTGGCTCAGGGTGGTTGGCTGTAGGAGCCTTCTAAATTAAAAGTACAATGGACTGCCAGGAGTACATACTTTTAACAAACATTCTATCTACATCAGGCTTTTATTAGGCTAAGTGGTGTTGATGTATTAATAGGCAATAAATATAGCAGAACCTTTGCTATGTCTGTAAGGGCACGATGCTGTGGTCCCCCATCATTGTCTGGGGGGCACAGGATTACCTGGAGTCCCATTCTGAGTCTTGCAACCTCAGAAATGGGACTCTGCACATGGAGCCCCTGCCCTGTTTGCAGCCACTTGTAGAAAGAACGGCACCAGCTGCCTCTCTGAGCTCAGAAATCAGCCCTGGAGAGGAAGGGGGCGTCTGCTGTGGTGGGGGGCAGGGGGAGTGGGAGGAGGTTGGGGCCACAGCAGGTGCTGAATGCAGAAGGCGCCCCAGCGCCCTTCCCTCCTGGTTTGTGGCGCTTCGTCTGAGCAGCCAGGAGCAGCGACCTAGATGAAAGGCAGGGCCAAGATGGTGGAGAGCGCTGTCTCTGCACTGCAGGCCCTGCCTGGGTGCACAAAAGCCTCTGTGTTCAGAGCACGGCCAGCAAGGGACCACCGGGCACTACGGGACTCGCACAGGATCGCACTCTCAGAGGCAGAGCTGTGACGCAGGAAGCCCCTCACTCCACAGGCCAAATCTCCCCTAGTCAGGCACCTCCTTTCTTGGCTGGCTGGCTGCTCCTTTGCATAAGGCCACAAGGACGTTTGAGGTGGCACTTGCGGGGTCCGAGGGAGCACATGGAATGCTCTGCGCCAGGCACCATTCCCCACCACAAGGGACCCTTTGTCTGGCAGGGCAGAGCAGCTGCATCGCTGTATAGGGCAGCTCACCCTCTGTCTTCCCCTGTGGAAGAACGATGCTCCTCTACAAGCAATTGCGCCGAAAATGTGTTGTAAACAGACAGACAGCTCAAGCATCTCATAGCCAAGGTACTCTCTTTTCTTCATATTAAACCCACATGGATATTTCACTCTCTTCGGGAGCAAAGATCAGCCATCTCTGAAGCATTGTTCTGGGCATGCTTATTGACCTGAGGAAGGTCTCACGGAGAGATGCCACAGGAAAATGCCTGTGGCAGCGGGAAGTATTGGGACTGGCTGATCAGTCCACCACTGCCAAACTCAAACGCTCAGCAGGAGTTGTTTGAAGGAGACAGGACAACACAGGTAAGCCCAAAGATACAATAGGCAGTCTGCTGAAGGGGAACACAATTGACAGAAGAGCTTCATGGGGTGCTGATCTGTTTCTGAGACTGAAGAGCCTAGGGGAATCCTTTTCTCAGGCCTCCAGCTCAAGAGCCACATTTGGCAGGGAAATGGCCTTCTCTGGCGCTCCCTGCTGAGCGGGGTGGGGATGGTCCCCTCTCTGCTGTCCTTCCTGGGGAAGCAAACGTGTTCTCATTCAGGCAAGGCTTCTGCAAAGGAGCTGGCCAACTGATGAAGGGTTTTTGTTTTGGTTGGCTGGGTGCTATTCATTTTCTTTATGATTATGCTTTCCAGTGGTATTTTAATTAATTTATGTATTAAGATGCTGTTTTTAACGTGCCTGTTACTGGGTTTTTTCTGCTTGGTCTTTGCAGTAAACTGCCTTGAGTGCCATTTTTTCTTTTTGATTCCAATCAATCAAACAATAGAGAAGTACAAAGGACTTATTTATTAGATTTATATCCTGCCTTTTTCTATCAAGGAATTCAAGGCAGCTTACATAATTCTCCTGCTGCTCTCAATCTTATCCTCACAATGACAGCCCTGTGAGGGAGGTTGGGCTGAGAGTCTGTGACTGGACCAAAGTCACCCAGTTGGCTCCACGGCTGAGCGGGGACTAGAACCCAGATCACCCAAGTCCGAGTCCTGAGTTCTTAACCACTACACCACATTGGCTCACCAGCAACTTCAATCCAATCCTGACAGCATAGCAGAAATTTCAGCAGAGCCTAGCATTCACTGCCTTGTGCAGACACTGCCCTACGCTGAGTGGGATGGTGTAAATTGGTGACCTTCAACGCACTTTCCAGCTCATCTGCATCTTTCTTAAACGGTGGTGCCCAGAATTGGACACAGTACTCCAGGTGAGGCCTAAACAGTGCTGAGTTTCATACTGGTTTCTGTGTCTGTGCTGTTTCATTTTAGCATTGTTTTGGTGAAATTCACGTAACTAACTAAATAAATATACAAATAAATAAGAAGGTCTATCGAGTTGAGTACCTTCTTCATTGTGTGGAAGCAGTTTTCCAAGACTCCTTGGGAACCAAAGTTCAATTTGGATGCCTGGAAGTACTTCCTAACAGTTAGGACCCCAAGTGTATGGAATGGGCTTCCACGGGAGGTGACCGAAGCCCTGTCGGTGAGGTTGTTCAAGGATAGGCTGGACATGCACATGGTGGGCATGTCATGAGTGGAGCTGGCTTGAGCCAGGGGTCAGACTAGATGACCTAGGAGACCCCTTCTGACTCACTCTGTTTCTGTGTTCTTTTCCCCTAGCCCCAGCCTCAAGCTGCCTAGGATTGAACCCGCAACCTTCTGCATGCAAAGCAGGTGCTCTGGCCGGCAAGCTACAGCCCCTCCCCATTAGTCTCCTAATGACAGAACCTCTTTAGAGTTACCCTCAAGCCAGCACTTCCCCCCAAGGCATTCACACAGAGAAGCAGTTCCATACCTTTTCTGTACAGGTAAAACACAGCAAGTGGGGAGGAATAATAGGAAATGGACCACAGTACGGAAGCCTGCAAGGACAGAGCAAAGGAAGGGTGTAAGTTACACAGAAAACCAACATTTCCAATAGCCATGCCACAGGCAGGGAAGGGGCAATGGCAGGTGCACTGGGTCAAAAGCAGCAGAAAGGATAAAGTGAAAGTGTAATGGTTAGAGCAAACTGGGAACAGAGGTTAGAAAGCGCAGCCAGATGACAGTATTCTGGACTTCACAACTGTACCATGAGGGAGTGTCTGTGTACAATTCCTTAGATGAAAACCCGGCGCACGTAGAGAACTAACACATCGGAGGAAGATTTACTGTATCCTCCCCACAGTGGGCCAGACTGCTATATGCTGGGAAAAGGTGCTTAAAAGATGGGGAGCATTAAAAAACACACCCAAAAGCATGCTACCTCCACATGTGAAATAGAGCCATCTAGAACAGTGGTCCCCAAACCTTTCTGGGCTGCTGCCCCCTTTCCTCTTGAGTTACAACTCTAGCTCCTCCACATCTCTTTCTCTGTAGCAGGTCTACTTCTCTACTGCAAATTTAAAACAACCTATCACCACCTCCATGGATCTTTCCACTGTCCCAGGAAGGCGGTACCACCCACTTTGGGAATCACTGCTCTAGAATATCGTCAGCTCCTTCTAACCATCCCTCTCTGTGAAACTTGTGCCAGGATTGCATTTGCAGCTGAACATGGTGGGCCAGGGATGGTGACGTGAACATTACAGCTTTAGGCTGTAGGTAGCAGAATTCTGTTTCTAAATATCCCCATGCTGTGTAAAAATTAAAATATCCCTGCTAATAGAAAACTAGCCCAGCAGGGGCGTGGGAAACTCTATAAAATTATTCTAATCTAATGTGCTAGCCAGATGCGCTTCCTTTTACATGCATCAAACTTTTCTCTGATTGCTTTTTAAGCATCCCCATCCGTGGCATAAGGGGTGCAACCCACTTCCCACTCTTCTCTGTACCACAAGCCCACACACTAGTCCAGGGAAAATGCCTGTAAGAGAGAGTGCATGGAAAGAGTATACTCACCAGAGCAAGAACACTATCGGCATGTTTTTCAAGGCTCCGTGGTTGGTAATATGATTCCTGTTGAGATGAAATGGGACATTTACTGAGTTTGATTTTTAAGTCTTGAAGAAGGGTGAAAAGAACAGCATTATGATGGCCTCAAGAAGAGAGAAAAGCTCCTTTTCAGACTGAGTGGTCTGCATGCCCAAAGCAACCCCGTGTTTGCATTTATTAGGCAGCAGAATTGCATCCTCCAAATACATAAATCTTTTTTGATGCTGTAACGGAAGTTAAACTGGCATAACACATCTCACGGCTTTTTCTAACTAGGTGTCCCCCAGATGTGCTGCAGTGCATGATGGCTGGGAATGAAGGGAGCTGGAGTTCAACACATCCAGAGGGTGCCTGGAACGCAAGAAAAGCCATGCAGGAGCAGACCGAGCGTCCACCTAGTCCAGCATTCTCTTCGCATAGTGGCCAACCAGCTGCCTGCGGGATCCCACCAACAGGAAATTACTGCAATAATTGTCTTGTCTTGCCCAAGTTCTGTAGCAGTTCTGTAGTTTGCCTATATACACAGTAACTGGTCTACATAGGCATGCTGCATCAGGACTAGTAGCTATTTTCCTCCATCAATTTGCCTAAACCCCTTTTAGAGCCATCAAGATTGGTGGCCATTGATACACTCCATGGAATGGAATTCCAAAGTTTAACTATGTTCCGTGTAAAAAAACACTTTGTTCTGAATCTCCCACCAATCCGTCTCATGGAATGGCCCTGGGGTTTCGTATTATGGAGGAGATGTAGCATTGGTATTTTCCACATGGACACCTCTGCCATGTCCCCCTTCCTCACTTTTTCCCCAATCTAAACAATCCCACCTCCTGCAACCTTTCCTCATAGGAGGGCTGCTACAACCCCTTTTCTGCACATTTTCCAACTCTACAAAATCCTTTTTTAGGTGTGGTGACCAGAAATGCACACAATATACTAAGTGTGGTTGCATGGTGTGGATTTATGACACAGAGGGTTTTCATTTTCCCTCCCTTTCCAAATAACGCCTAACATGGAGCTCAGCTTTTTCACTGCACTGGCATTGGCCCTGAGCTGCCCACCACAATGCCAAGATCCCTTTCTTGCTCAGTCACTGCTAGCTCAGATCCCATCTTCCCATACTTTCAGCTGGGATTTCCCCACCTCAAAGTGTGTAACTGACACTTGCTTACACTAAAATGCATTTGCCATTTTGATGCCCATTCTCCCAGTTTGGAGAGATCCTTTTGGAGTACCTCACAATCCCTTCTTCTGTTGATCACTCTAAATAATTTGGTATCACGAGCAGGCTTGGCTACTTCACCTAGCTAATTCTTAATTCCAGATCCACTATGAATGGGTTGAAAAGCATTGGTTCTAACACAGAATCCTGTGGGACCCCAGCGTTTACATGTAGGGACACTGGGACAAATTACCATTTATTTGCATTCTCTGCTTTCTATTCTTTAACCTGTTACTGGTCCATAAGAAGACTTCCTTTCTTGTTCCATGACTGGTAAGTTTGCTCAGGAATCTAAGAAGAGGGACTTTATTAAAAGCCTTTTTGAAGTCTAAGTCAACAATGTCCACTGGTTTGCCCCTGTCCATATTTTCACTGAAACTCTCAAAGAACTCTAAAAAGTTCATGAGACAGGACTTACGTTTGCAGAAGCAATGTTCATTCTTTTTCAGCAGGGCTTATCTCTCTCCATGCTTATTAATTCTATGTTTAATAATGTTTTCAACCAATTTACCTGGAACAGACATCACGATAGCCAGCCTGTTAATTTCCCAGATCTCCCTGGATCCCTGTTTAAAAACTACCGTTAAACTGACCATTCTCCAGTCCTTTGGTACAGCAGCTAATATGTCCCTAAGTTACACATTTTTGTAAGAAGGGCAGCCATTTCTTTAAGAAAGCTAAGATGGATACCATCTGTGCTCAGTGACTTATGTACTTTCAGTTTGCGAATTTCCTCTTTTGTCATCACTATCCACCTAGCTGAGGGCTGCCTCAGAGGTTTGAACCAAAGCCGTCATTTTGGTAGCTCACATCAGGTGAGCTCACATCAGGTCTTTCTGCATGAACTACAGCCTCATGACTTGTCCCTAGCTCTAAAATTAAAAGAAAAAAAGATGAGTGAAGAAAAGAGCTGACTTCAAAAGGAGGCACCACTCTGGAAGCCGTATTTCATACAAATTTAATAAATGAATAAATATTCATCTGATATGGAAAGACATGCCCTCAGTCATAGATGTACGCTGCTGAGCTGGGATGAGAGTAGGGAAACTTTAGGCCTGTGGGATCTCAACTTTTTCTTTTTTAACCTGAACCCCAAAGACCACCAAATGGAGCCAGATGCAAACTGGTGACTCAGGGTCAGGGGTCATTACTTATTAAATCCCAGGAGCCATGCAGCAGGTGGGCCTGCAGTCACAAATACAATCCTACATCTGAATTGGTAGAGATTAGGGATCCTAAGAGTCTAATGAAGACTAAAAATTAAAAAGATTGTTTAAAAGTTAAACAATCTTAAGTTGGGGACCTTAGCTGATCTAAGACTGTAATTGTTATGCTGGGCCAAAGAAAGGCCCACCTAGTCTAGCATTCAGTTCACACAGTGGCCAACCACCTGCTCACCAAAACCCAAGCAGAACAGGAGCAACACTTCCATGCTTCATCCTGCCCAAGTTCCCCCATAACTGCTGCATGTAAGCATACAGCCTCTGATAGCGGACAGAGCAAAGAGCCACCAGGACTGGTAGCCACTGGAGGATTCATTCCTCCATGAATTTGTCCATCTCCGTTAAAAGCCATCCAACTTGGTGGCCATCACTACATCTTGTGATTCTTATGAAGCTGTGCATCACTGGTTCATAGCTCTGTGCTTTCCACACTGACTGGCAGCAGCTCTGCAGCATCTTGGGCAGGATGCTATCCTAGCTCTACCTGAAGATGTCAGTGACTGAATGTGCAAAGCCTGCACTCTGCCAGTGCCTACAGCAAATCTGCAAGAGAGCCACTGATCAACTTTTGACACTGCTGGGTTGGGTTACTGTGCAACTGAAGAGTCTCTCCCGTTTCTATTTTGCATGATCCATAGTTGACCTCTGGTAAGCATTTGGCTCAAAATTAAAGCCCAGGGAAGGGGTGGTAACGTTCTGGTCCTTCAGATGTTTTGGCTGACGATCCCCACCATTCCTAAAGACACAGCAGCCCCTGGGGAATTTAGCCATCCTGGGTTTCCTGCAGACTTTTCTATAAAGTCATACCAAAATCTGAATTACTGGTGAGACAGTTACCCTAGGTGAGTAAGGGGATATTTTGGCCACAGAATGTTATGGTAATGGAGATGGAGACAATAGCGCTGCTGATAGAAGAGACAGAGCAACTGGATCCTCCCATTTTTCATGCCACAAGTTATGCGAGCCTGTACAAAACTGGAAGTTTTTCCTCATGATAGGTTTGCCTAGAAAAGTATTTGTAATGAATCTGCACAGTGATTCTCAAATGGTGTTCAAGGGAACCTTGCGTTTTCCTGGAAAGAAGCAGGAGTATCACAGCAAATGATCAGTAGCTGCAGAACACAGGCTGCCTTATACTAACAGTTTCCCTTACAATCCTCGGCTGAAGTGGAGGTTGGGAATATTGTAGGGTGTACAGTTAGATCATGAGACAACAGTGAACTGAGCTAAGAGGCCCTCTGCCAACATAGTGTGCGCTCCAGGATCCTCTGCAACACAGAGAGGATGGTATAAGCCTGAGGGATTTTCTGCGGTTAAAACAAGGTAGAAAGCATTCTTTCAAGTTTACAAGCTATTTAATTAGGTGTGCTCAGAACTGCATTATTTCTATGAATCAAGTCCAGAACTTGTATGTGCTGTTAGATCTGCTTCTGACTGTGAAGGGCCAGGAGATTCTGAAGCATGAGGTGCCTTCCAGTGGCTGGGGCTGGATCCCCTGCTACAGTCCCTGTCTGAACAGAGACCGTCTTGTCACAGTTATCTGTTCTCTATCCATGCAGGGTGATACAGTTCAGTCTGGATGGTTGTGATGTGAAATACATGGCACAGCTCCTGAAGCTTATTCAGAAGCTTTCACTGATTCAGAATTTGGCGGCCAGCCTATTAACTGGGACTTGCCTAACTGGATGTCATTCTCCAGGATTAAAAGATCTTCACTGGTTCTTAATTTGCTACTGGACACAATTCTAAGCGCCAGATTTTCTCATTAAGTGCCCTTAAACATCAGATCCTATATCAACTTTATTTATTTGGACAACTTGGGGGAAGGCTCCAGCTTGTGGTAAACAACATTCTTTCAATGCTGAAATTCCCAAGTCAACATATTCAGATGGGATTTCTAAAGACTCCGGCTGACATCATGGTGGACCATTACCAGTCTGTGCAGACACCCCTGTGCTAGATGAAGCTGTGGTCCAATTCAGTATCACATAGCTCCTCATATTCCCCAATACTTGATCTGTAAAATCTTCCTTCTTTGCCAGACTCCTAGTACATACCTTTTTAATTTAAGCAGGTGGTGACTGGGGATTGAGCTTTCTCAAGAGTTGACACCCCATATTTGGATCCCCATATCTCAGGCACCAACTTTATCAAGTTGCAGATGCCAAGTAAATCTATTGCTATAATCCCAAGCATTTGGTTGAGGACTGTCATTTTGCTGACTGCTTTTAATGTTGCTTTCATTCTCTGGTGGATTGCTCACTTTTAACATAGTTTTAATTGGTTCTTATAATCGCAAGCCACCTGGATGTTGATAAGCAGAAAAGAGGGGCACATATTAAATAACAATAACAACAAGAATAGTAAATTTAACAGATTCAGTAAAAGGCAGAATGCCAAAGGGGATAGCCTTCCCCATTAGAACTGCCAGACCAAAATCACCCCCATGTCCCAGGCCTGTTAATTTTTGTTTGCAATGTAACTGTTAAAGCAATGAGTCCTTTGAGGAAATTGTGGCACTCTTACTTTCGAGGAGGGTGTGGAGGAAAAGAGCAAGCCTTGCATAATAGAGGAAGCTATCAAAGAGATGTCAAAGGCCAGTTGCTGCTTCTAGTAGGTTTATTTATCTGCTCTCTCGTTCCTGCCTTCCCCCTATAGCATTGCTCCCTTCCCATTGCTTTGCCAACATCCACAAGGTCCAAATAATTCCCCCCTCATATCTCACAGTGGTCTGCCTCGTCCTAGGAAAATGGTCTAGGGCTAGGCCCTCAGTAATAGCATTCTCCATGGTGGGTGTGTCCTACGTTAGAGAAGGGAAAGGGGCTCGCTTCTTTGCAGTCTCCAGCTCTATTCCCTTCCCCCGCTCTCATCTTAACGGTATCACCTACCGATATCCATTAGCCACTGAATTCGGAACAAAGATGAATATCCAGGAAAGTAAAGGTGTCCCCTTATTTTAATGGTTTCGCCCCAGCTTCATACAGATATAGGGGGACACGATAAATACCAAGTCTCCAGGAGGGGAGTAGCAGGTGATGGACTCACCCAAGAAGGCTCCAGGGGGGCTTGGGAGGTGTCATCTCCTCCAGCCCTGATGCGACGGGTTCTCGCAGGACCTTGCTCCCGATAGACCCGGTACAATCGAGGGCCCAGTATGCAACTCAGCAGTTTCGCCATTTTAGGACGGAACCGGCGCCGGGCAGAAGCGCAGCAGCCGCGGGAAAGCGGCGGGAGGAGGGGAGCTACGGGTAGGCAGAGGGGACAAAAGCGTTTCAGTTTCTCATAACGCGATTCTAGCGGTCGGTATGAAACCGCACTTGATAGGACGATTTTATTCCGTTATAAGTATCACTATGTACAATGATATTTATTTTCAATCCTGGCAAGTATTTTCTTTTAGATTCGCTTCGATTCGCTTCGCTTAGATTAACATCATTTGTAGGTTTCCTCTTAAGACATTCAGTCACGTTTGCAGTGTTAAAGGTGCGGGACTGGGACTAGAAATGGGTAATTCGGGTTCTAGTCCCCGCTCAGGCGTGGACCTCACTGGGTGACTTTGGGCCAGTCATAGACTCTCAGCCTAACCTACTTCACAGGGTGGTTGTTGTGAGGATAAGATTGAGAAGAGGAGGAGAATTGTATAAGCTGCCTTGAGTTCCTTGGAAGAAAAAAAGGTTTGATATAAATATAATGAATAATATTTCTTGAACCCCTGCAGTTACCCAAAGTTTGGGTTTGTTTTGAAAAATACAGAAATTGGCCACTGCTAGTTCCCATTGATGAAACATCAACCAACAATCGTGGGCTTTTGGTCTAACAAAAAGAAATAGCCAGCAGATTTAGCAACTTAAGGGTGAAATTTTATGCTTGTTTATACAGAAAAATGTCCTAGGACTCCCAACATACCGTATGTGATATGGCTGGCTGCAGCATGCTGGGAGTTGCAGGGCTTTATACAGTCATAGAATTGTGTCTTTATTTTATTGTTTTGTACTATGCAGTATTAGCATGTGTGGTATTGTGTAGCAACTGCTAGGGGATGCTAGGAGCTGTAGTCAAATGCACTGGCAAGTTCCAGGAGGGGAAACCTGGAATACTGTATTTCAAAAATGGACAACACTATCTAACAAAAACCTCTGCTAAAATACCTATTAATGAACATATGTATGAACTGGAGCCTTTTTTAAAAAGCTAAAACCCCTCAAGAAAGAAGTTCAGCAGGGAAGGGAAAAACAAAGATGCAACCCACATTTCAACAGCTCTTCCTCCTGGGTGCTGGGTCAGAGGGAGTGGGGAACAACATGGATACAATCCAGTGTTTATTACCACAAATTGGCACCCTTCAGATGTGCCAGACTCTAACTCCTGTTATCCCCAAATTGTGCCTGGGTATGATGGGGCTTGTATGGCACATCTGGAGGATATCTGCCAGAGGAACACTGATTAATGTCTAACCTGCTATTTTCCAACAGTGTTGGACCACAACTCACATTGTTCCCAGGGACTTGTAGTCCAACACATCTGGGGAAGATGTGCTGTAGTTCTCCTTTTGCCTCTACTTCCCCTTCCCAACATTTCAGTTCAAGTTCCTTTTGATAAGTCAGCCCGTCCAGCACCCTCAGTGTGTGCCGGACACAGATAAGCCTTGATGTCTGTGTTCTTTGCCTTCCTTTGATGCATCAGCACTGTGGTGTCATAACAAAATAAAATTAATATAACCAAGGGGAAGAGAAGCAGCCATAAGGAACACATAAGGATAGTCCACTGGCCAGAGGAATCTCCCTCCAAAAAAATGGGTGGTGTTTCTCAAAGCTCCATAGCCATTGTTGGTGCTCTGACTGCCATCTTCCTGTCTTTGCGACTCAGCGGTGCTGAAAGTAAGAGCTAAGTTGCTTCCGTTTTTATTCATTTGTCTTGAGGGTTGGCAGAGGTATTGGTGAGAACCTGTAAATACGGATATATTAAAGGTGGAGCTGTGCTCCTGGTTCCATGGCCTTTGGGCAGGGCCGGCATCTACAGAGGGCCCGCACCACGGTGGAGGATCACGAACAAGAGCCCTCCGTTGCTGCTGCTGTCTCCTCCCTTGCAACTTACATGCTCACCGGTGGCGGTGGAGAGGAGCCCGTGCCTGCTTGCTCACTGACTTTCTGTCAACGAAGCAAGCAAGGGTAGCCCAGCCAGGATGAGGAGGAGGATACAGAACGAAAGGAGCCAGTGGCCGTGGCAGTGAGAAGGTAGACCTACTGAGGAAGGGATGCCCCCCGATCCTCCAAACCCTGGAGCCACTACTTCACTGGGGATTTGATTGGATAGAGGTAGAGGTGGACCTGGGAGGTACATTTGGTCTGGAGAAGAGATAAGAGATGTGTTCTCTGTCTGGGGGTTATTGCCATAGTCTGCTGGCTTTTTTGGATGTTTTGGGCAAGCACTTGCATCGACCTCAACTAGCATGACTAAATAGATGGTGATGGGAGTCATAGCCAAAGACATCTGGGGGACACCAAGTTGGGGAAGGCTGGGCTGGATTCGACTGGAAACGGATCCTGGCTCTGCGGGAGAGCACCTGCTTTGCCTGCAGCCTGAGTCTCTGCTTTCTCTGGACAGGGCTGGACAAGGCCCCTGCTGGAAACCCCTGGAGAGTGGCAACCAGGCAGTGTAGATTACATTGAGCTGCATGGACAGGTAGCTTGACTTAGCACAGGGCAGCTTCCTATTTATTCATTTCTTTATTTATTGCAGTTGATGCCTTGCTATTGCTGTTTCTTTAAAACAATCTATGGACTGATTTGTTTTTATGTTTTGAGATTGTGTTTTCCTATGGGCAGCTGCCTCCAGTGCCCCTTTCAGCAGAAAGGAGGGTGATACATTTCATAAAAGCAAATAATATTCTTAAGTTACTTAAGCCATAGCAGTGGCCAATAGCTGATCTGTCCCTGTTGGCCTCTTGTTAATATCCAGTTAATGGTTGATTTTTTGAGGCTTCTGCTTTCTCTCTCCCATAGCAGTGTATGCAAAGAAAGGCTCTTCACAGGAGCTTAAGTGTTTATGTCGATCATGCTCTGGGGAATCAGTGTCCTGGTTGTATGATCTGCAAGGCGTGACAACAACCCTCTTCAAACTGCAGAACGCCCACATAAAACGCTTCGCTGCCTGGGACCGCCTTCAGATGCTCACAAATTACTCCCTTCACTTGAGTAATGTGACAGACAAGGAGACTGGTAGATATTGGTGCAGCTGGAAAAGTTACTATGACCTTGTGGTCGTCACAGGTGAGTGAAGTAGCATTTGAACAGTGCTGAAAAGCAGGCTACAAACAAGGGACTCCTCTTGTCTGCACCAGTTACAGAAAATGCTCAGGGCAGGTGGGTATCCAAAGAGAGGGAGCACCAAGACCAAGGGACAGGGGTTCATTTTCACCACGTGCTGCTGTTCTTGGCCCTGCTGACTCTTGGAAGGTAGGGCTTAGTCTCCAGAAATTCTTTTCTCCTACATGACCCCATCCCTGGTTGGGGACCTCACCTCTGCCAGGTCTAGTGGGGGGGGGCAGTGGGAGAACTCACCCCCAACTCTCTAGTACAATCTCTGATTCATTTTTGCTTGAGACTCACCAGCCATGTCCTCTTAGACAAGTTGTCATACATATATGAGGATTCTGGCAACAGTTGTATTTTAACTGCTGACAACATTTCCTGTACTTTGTTAGTCACTTGGAGATAAACAATCCTTAATGTGCAGGCAGATTACTGCTTCACCACAGCAAGGTGTGTTTTTTAATGTGCGTTGTATGACTTGCTCTGAAATGCGGTGAACCAGCCCTTCTGCATTTCACTCCCTTCCTCTTCGTTCTGCTGAGTGGGATTCTGCATCTCTGACCCCACACCCTTCCTGGATGGAGCCGCTGGTTTTGCAGAGGGCCAGGCTGTTCGAAGCCTGGGTGGGAGGAGTCCGAATTGATATTCTTGTGTTGTTGGGCTGCATCCAATGTTATGTGACTTAAGTCACATGCATGTCAGTGGTTCTACCCTAAGTCTGATGGTTATAAGGAACCATTCGGTGAAGGAAGACGTCTTTGCTCTGAGCAGTGTGGGCATGGATAAACAGGGCCAACACAGGCTGCCACCTTCGGCAAGGGGCGGCATAGAAATGTTATAGGGCCAGGCTGTTCGAAGCCTGGGTGGGAGGAGTCCGAATTGATATTCTTGTGTTGTTGGGCTGCATCCAATGTTATGTGACTTAAGTCACATGCATGTCAGTGGTTCTACCCTAAGTCTGATGGTTATAAGGAACCATTCGGTGAAGGAAGACGTCTTTGCTCTGAGCAGTGTGGGCATGGATAAACAGGGCCAACACAGGCTGCCACCTTCGGCAAGGGGCGGCATAGAAATGTTATAATAATAATAATAATAATAATAATAATAATAATAATATCATCTACTTTAGCCTGGGCCAGGGGACTCTCTGATTGTCGGGGCTGGGCCCAGCGCCCCTGCAGAGGGGCCTAAAGAGGATGCGGCATTTGATTCTGCCTTCCACAAGGAAGGGAAAGAGGTAGCTGAGGGCTGGAGAGAGGTGGCAATGGTGCTGATAGTCCAAGAGGCCCCAGTGAAACCATGGCAGCATGGAACCAGAGGGAACAAGAGGAGGAGGAGGAGGGAGTGGGCATCAGCAATCCCAGGGTTAGAGATCAAACCAGAAGTGAGACGCACCGCTGAACAAGGCAGCCTGCTGAGTGAGTGGCTGCCAAGGGGACGCCTCAGGAAAAGGATCTGGCTTGAGGGTGGTGCTTTGTTAGTCTTCCTGGCCAGAACAGGAGGGCTCTGCAGTTCCCAACAGTTTGGTTTCAGCCCACTGTTCTGCCACATTAGCTTGAGGAGCTATTTCTATAGGATGCTAAAACAGCAACTGAAGGCAGAGCATGTGGGCATCCCATGCCGGACGGAAGGAACGCGGAGGAAAAAGTCTCCTTGGTACTCTTCCCACTTGGCCAAGACTTCAGTGGCCGCTTTCAGCTGTCTAAGTGCAGCGCTTCAGAAGGAGGCTGAAGCTTCATCAGGATGCTAAGATCGGCAGCAGAGGCCCTCCTCCGGGAACCCTCTTTGAAAGAGGTCAGGAGACAGAGCACTCAGAGGAAGGCTTTCTCTGCAGTGGTGCCCCGGCTATGGAATGCACTCCCTAGAGAGGTCCGCCTGGTGCCGTCATTACATGCTTTTCGGCACCAGGTCAAGACCTTTTTATTTGACCAATATTTTAACCAATTATTTTAAAGTAATTTTAATTGTATTAGATTAATTTATTTTAAATAGATTAGTTATATGCTCAGTTGTGGAATAGTTAATTTATTTTATTTAGGATTTGAAGTAATGTTGTAAGCCGTCCAGAGATGACTGTGATGGACAGCCTACAAATTTTCTAAATAAATACATACATACATACATACATACATACATACATACATACTTCGTATTGCAGGGGTGTCCCCTCCCCTTCTAAAGCCTCTCTCTGTGGTTGGTCTTACCATCTGCGAGAGGCAGCAGGCATGACTTTGTGAGGCAGGGAGAGCTTTCGAAGCTGGGAGACCCAGCAATGCCTAGGGCATGCTGGGAGCTGTAGGCCTTTTTCTGTCTAAACATGTGCAAGATTGCACCTTAATTTTCCCATAACGTGTAAGACAGGATTACTGATTCTTCTGCCAAGTATGTTAGCTGACAGCTTATTGACAAATGACTCATCTAGGCCAGCCCCCTGCCTCCACACCAGCCACTCCCAGAAGGGTTCACACAAAAAGCAAGGTCTCACGTCTCCCTCACCTGCATCCTAGGCCCTAAACTACATGCTAAATGCTTCTTGAATTCAACATGGTGCCTCAGTGGTCTTTCTCTTTCTTCCAGGCAAGAAGCAAATTTTGGAGAGCGCTCAACTGGATACTGTGTGTTACGTCCTGAGCTGCTCCGTCTCTGTTAAAGAAATAATCCACAGTGCTGTGAGTTGGTGGGAGGGCAAAAAGCAACTCCAGGAGGAGGATAAGAAGGAAAGATACAGCACCTTCAGTGGGCCCAGGACAACTCAGCTCCAGATTTGTCTGGCAAAGGAGGTGCCAGGGAAGAAGGCCAAGGAAAGGAACGTGAAGTGTTGCTTTGGTGAGAAGACGGAGAAGATGGAGATTGCTTTCAGTTTGTCTGGAAAGGACGGAGAAATCTGTACTGGTGACAGTTCAAAGCCCTTTCCTGAGGGTGAGGTGTTTTCTGAGTATTTGGACTATTTTTATATTAGTGTATTGAATCATTCTCCTCCCGTATTTCTGTGAGGAACCCAGGGCAGCTTAGAAAATTCCCCTTTTTTCTATTTTGTCCTGATGGCAACCCTGTGAGGTAGGTTAGGCTATTGTCAAGGTCTGGCTCAAAGGCACTCAGGGAGTTCATAGCCAAATGGGGTCTGGAACCAAGATCTCCCGGGTCCCAGTGCAACACTCTCATCACTTCCCCAGCATGGTTGCTTTCTAGTGGTTTTGCAAAAGCTTTCCTATCATGCCTGGCCAGTGCTTGCTAAGGATGTTAGGAACTGTAGTCCAAAGTATCTGGAGGGGACCATGCTAGGAAAGGAAGGCTGTATTTCCAAGTGCGGTCCTATCAATTGCATTGTTTATTTTTATTAGATTTATATCCTGCTTTTTCTTTTTTTAAAGAGCTTTTATCCTCCTGCTGTTCTCAATCTTATCGCTGCAACACAACAACCCTGTGAGGTAGGCTGGGCTGAGAGTCTGTGACTGGCCCAAAGTCACCCAGTTGGCTCCATGGCTGAGTGGGGACTAGAACCCAGATTGCCCGAGTCCCAGTCCTGTGCTCTTAACCACTGCACCACACTGGCTGTTAGTTGCTATTTGGAAGTCTCTAAATGGAAAACTGGAACTAAGGGAATGGAATGACTGAAATCCTGATCGGGGAACTCTCCATACTGCAACATTTTGTTGCAGATCCCAGTTGATTTTGCTTTGGCCAGTAATATAACTCATTCTCTGTCTACTGCTTGAGCCTATGGAGGCTACCTCTGCCCACCACCAAACCTACAGGAACCCTACCTTCCTCAAACCAAAAAGGGAAATGAATATTTGTCTGATTAATTGATTTTACAAAACTGTGTCCAATAGTCCCAAACAGGACTATCATCTGTGGGTGATATACATCCATCAACATCATACACAATTATACAATTATAAATAGTGATTAAAATATATTTTAAAAACCATTGAAACATAAACTAATACTAAAAAGAGTGCCACAGCATTGCAAATAAATCCTCAAAAGAATTGTTTAATTAATCAACTAAAATTTAAAATTAGTTCAATACTATTTAATTAGTTATTAAAAAACCTGGAAAATGAAGCTGCTTTTGCCTGGCGCCAAAATGACTGAGAATGATTATGGAACAACATAAATGTTGTGATGTGCAACTGTACCTTTAATGTCTGTGAGCCCAGCACACACCTCCTGTGCACACACGTGTCTGTGCGTGTCTCTGCTCTCGGCAGCCTCTCTGGAGCCACGGAGGTGGCAGAGCGATGTGGAGGCACCTTCTGGGGCAGCTCTAGGAGGGCTCCCCTGCCCCGTTCTCGGCATGGCTCCTCCACGCAAGCACACCATCCGTGCTGCAGGCGTGAACAGCAAACGTTTGCTATTCGCTCTCTGTCTTCACCCGCCGCAGGTTTCATCCTGGTATCCAAACACTGCAAATCTAGAAATAGGGACGGTGACGTGGGGAGAGGCCAGCGTGCCATGGCTTTATTCTCTGCTTGTGGCTTTCCTGTGATACGCAGGGGCGGCGCCAGGTTGCTCAACTCCACAGTGCCCAGACAGTGGCGGCCATGGCTGGGTCCTTCTGGTCGTCTGCGTCACGCTGCAGTTTCTGGTCATCCTGACGCTGGCTGCAGCGCTGCTGAGACGCAGGTGTCGGTAAGTGGTGATGAGGTGCAGGGGGTCAGGGAAGGGTTAGTACTAACCGGATGTATGAGCCTTGGAACGTAAGAGCACTGCTGAGCCAGAGCACGGCCCCGATCCAACGTTCCGTCCCCCAGAGGCCAATAGCAATGCCTGATCTGGGAAGCTAAGCAGGGTCAGGCCTGGTCCGAATCTGGATGGGTGACTTAAGTGTTGTGAACTGCCTGGAGAGCGTCAGCTACGGGCAGTTTAGAAATGTAATGTAACAACAACAACTAGCTTGTGAGTAGTGCACAAGCAGGGTGTGAGCACAGTGTCCACAAACTTCTGTGCATCTTTCCCTGCAGGCATGCTGCCTCTGAGAGTATTAGCTACTGTTTGCCTCATTCTCTAAAAAATTGTCCAGCCTCTGTTTAAAGGCACCCAAGATGTGGCCATTGCTGCATCTCATAGTAGCAAATTCCGTAGTTAACTCCACGTTGGTGAAACAGTACATCCTTTTGTCTGTCCCAAATCTTCCACCAATTAGCTCATGGGTTGACTCTTTTGAGGTCTAATATTATAGGAAGTCTCCAGGTTATGAATGAGTTTTGTTCCTGAGAAAATGGAAGTTAGTCTTTCAGTCAGATTTTAGGCTGAAGACAGAAGTAACCCATTTAGAATGCGAGGAATGGGTTGGAAGGCAAGGACTGTGGCTTGGTGGTAAAACATGCTTTGTATGCACGGGACCCTGGCTTCAGTCCCCAGCCCCTCCAGCATGGGCCTGAGAAATGTGAGCGAGAAAGCGCAGAGTACCATGTCAGTCAGTCAGTCACTGCTGACAAAACCGGCAGGATGGATCAAGCGTCTCATGTGTCTTCAGTACAAAGGCACTGCTCTGCCCCATAGCAAACTCTGAGTACCCGGTTCCCAGATTGGCCAGCCTGAACTAGGAAATGCCGCCCAGGAGCGTTCCTATTGGCTGGCCTCCACAGAGTGTTATCTGAAGCTGACATGGAGGCGGAAAGAAGGAGGCCTTGCATGCCCTGGTTAATAAACAAACCGACCCTGGCCAGATGGCCGAGGCGTAGAGAGAGGAACGAAACTGCTGGTGATCCACCCAAATTGCACAAAATGTAGGGAATGGATTGAAAAATAGAAATCCCTGCACTGTAATGCCTTCCTATAAATTTCTGGTGTGAGTGAACTTAAAACAGCATCTAGAGTTTAAACTGCTACATCTCCAAAATAGAAATTATAGAGCTGAAGAAGTACGGAAAAGGATGAAGTGGTGAAAGGGCCAGAGCTGAAAAGCTCTATGTTCTGGGCTTTTTAGGAGAAAAGACAAGTAATGGGGTGGGTGACACAACAGACATATATAAAATTATTCATAGTGTGGAGAAAGTGGGTAGGGAGACATTTTTCTCCATCTTTCATCATGCTACCCTCTGGAGTCAACCCATCAAGCGGAATGGTGGGCGGTTCTGGACAGATGAAAGAGGTGCAGAGTTGACCTGTGGAATTCATGACCCCCAGATGCGTGACGGACATCTGATTACATTAAAAGGAGGTCAGACACATCTGTGGAGGATGAGAGAGCCATCTTACGTCCCCAGACAGCTTCTGGACGTTTTGGATTCCCAGATCCGAGCTTGGAGACAGCAGTCTGAACTTGGAGCAAGGAGCCAAAGCTTCCCTTCTGAGCTGATGCAGGGAATCACAGTTTTGTGCCCAGTTTGCCTTGCAGTTGGATCCAAAAAATTGAGAACCTCTACAGCTTCTGTGGGATTCTGGCTCTCATGGGGAACCAATTAGCCAATGGACCAGTACAACCAGCAGGTGGCAGCAGGAACCACTTTCTGGCTATCACATTTGTGCATGGAAACACAAATAATCTAGTTACATAATTTATTACATTCTGAACCCTAAATCTACCCTCCAAGGAGCTTGGGGCAGCACATGTGTGTTGCCCCACTGGCAAGTGGAGGGCCCCAGATGTAGGATTTGCATTTCTGATGTGCTTTGGACTGATCTTGTTTATTATTACTTATCTCTCTCCTTGCAGACGGAGACATAAAGATCATCTTAGGGAGCTTAGCAAAGGTAGGCATGCAGGTGTTTATCAGCTCATGTGCCAGCATTCAGGTTTCCCTAGGATCTGAGAGGCGGGGTGTGCTCTGATTGGTTAGAGCAGGTGAGGCCTGGGCAGAGGTACCATCAGGGAAGGACTTTGGGGCAAGTGTCCAGGGACCCCCTCAGCAGAATGAGCAGCAGGGTCCCCCAAAGGCAGCAAGGCTGTCTTACGCATTGCCGTTTCAAGAGGGACTTGGTGGGAAAGTCACTAACTACAGGGCTCCAGAGGAGACAACTGTCCCAATGTACCTGGGTCTCTGAGAGGAAGGTAGCATAGAGGTGCACCTGGGACAACGAAGCCTGGATCCCTTAAGAGAGTAGTCAAGCAAGTTACAGCAGGTGGAGGAAACAGTTTGGGGGCTCTTGCTTGTTTCATGCAACAGGATGGGATGGAATGTATTGAAGGATGGGGGAGGGGTGCCCAAATTCCAGGATTCTCTTGGTCAAAGGATTTCATGGGAAAAAGAGCTGCTACATGCAAATGGGGGATTTAATGGGAAACCTGTTCCTGGACTATAACAGGTCTGACCTCCCATGATGCAGGCCTCACATTCTGCCATGGCTCCCCACAGGGAAAATATTCCCAGCATGTATAAATTTAACATCATGGAGAAAATCAAACTAGAATCACACTGCTCCATGATAAAGTGTTCTTATACATTCAGGGAGCTTTTAATGCAATGCAACACTGGGGATTAAATCTGTGACTGTCTTGTTTTGACGGGCACCCAGGGTATTTTGGACAGGGTCATATGCACATATCTGTGTAAAATACACCCCTTGGCTAGCCCTGTCAAAAATCCCAATGTAAAAGAAAGCTCTGTGCTTGTGTAAAGAGATGGCTCATACTTTTCCATCTCTCTCTTGAGTTTCTGGACAGGGTGGGAAAGGTGCAGGGCACCGAGAAGAATCAGGTCCAGTAAAACAAAATTAGAGGATGACACTGCAAGCAGGGTGGCCAGTTTGCCTTTGGATGACTTTCAGGGGAGTGTCTCCCCCCCACACTGCCTTTCTGGTCCAGTGTCCATGGTTGCTGCCTGCCATGCTTTGACAATGCCCAGGCAAGGCTTTCCATTGTGGATCATGGCAAGTATGTGCTTCTGCAAGGGTCTGACAAAGTACCACAACAAATGAAGAATTTTTTGCACATGTTTAAGAGTGCAAAAAAAGAATTATGGTAAGCCAGTGGCAGCTGCTCTAAAGAGGCCACTTGGGCACCTTGGAAGGGTTGTCAGTGGCCGTCAGCTTGGAGATTACAAGGAGTTTCTCTCTGAACAAAAGAAGGGAGGCCCTGTGGCAAGATGCAGAGGGACTTGTGGACAGCAAGTCCTGCTGTGGAGTTCCTGGAGCAGCTACAGGAGGTCAGAGGGGAAAGAAGGTGGGAACAACCCACAGAGGGTCTGAGTGGGTTGTTTCACGGCTCATTTGCAATCCGGGTTGTTATGCATACTCACTCATGTGCTGCTAGTCTGCCTTTGCTGCCAGAAAAGGCTTTTTTTAGTGAAAAGAAACAAGGCTGAAAGAATGGCACGGAAAATATGAGTGGGTTATATGTGGAAGATGTTGGCAAATGGACTCCTTGTAAAATTCTGTGAGGATGTAGGGTGATTACATGATAAAAATCTTATCTGTTGACAGCTGCAGAGTTTGGGGAATTAACAGAGGTGCCCTGCCCAGTGAGGACAATAATACATTTAGCAAAATGAATAAGCGCTCTTGGAATCATTAATCAACACAGGAAACTGCCTGAATCAGACCTTTGGTCCATCTAGGCCCAGTATTGACAACGTAACTGGCAAACAGGAAAGACAATTTGCAGCTCTGCCTGGAGATGCTGTGGATGGATCCCAGGCTTTTCTGCATGCAATAAACATGTGCTGTCTGCGAGCTACTATCCTTCCTGGTCACAGGATCCCAATAATTTGATTTAATCTTTAAATTTAAGATTATTTTGCCCCCCTCTTTTAGGAATAGAACCCTTTGCATGCAGGATTTGTGTTAGCATGGTATAAAACACCGACTCTGTGAACCCAAAGTGGACAAAAGTGAGAAACAGGTTTGCTCATACTGCTGTGTTTGCTGTTACAGAGACTTCCAAGTCAGAATACGTTCCTCAAGTATATGAGAATGTCAGAACCTGATCAGAGATGCTGCTGGGACAAGGGAAACTCCCAAATTCCCACTGAGTCAGTGGATCCTGGGCTGGAGCCAACAACCTTCAAATGTTTTCAAATGTTAATGTTTTCCAGGCCTTCATTATGAGTTTTTCTAGGGGGGAGTTCCTGTTGAAACCTTGCTTAAAGCTCTGCAGTATGGCCTAAAATGACCAAACCTTGCAAAGAAAATAATCTTTTTGCTAGGACTTAACATGTCTGCCTTATTTTCCTCTCTAAATAATTAGCAATGTGCTACCATGAAAAATATTGCAGGTGGCTACCCTTTCACCATGAGTTGTGTTGAACCTAGAGCCAACTGACCTCTCAGAAAAGCTTGCCCTGTAACTTTAATCACAACCTGATTTGTAGAAACCGGTAGAGGAAGCTGTTTGGGGAACAGAGGTGAGCATGGCCACTAAAAGCACTGGAGCTGGGAGCCAGTAAGAGGCTGGCAACCCTGTTGGCAGCTGTGTAGAAGAGGACATTTCAAAGGGCAGCTTGTCATGGCAGAACATGGGGGCGGGCGGCTGAACAACTGGCCCTGACAACAACCCCCTCCCCTGTGCAGTGACCAGGGGCATGGGAGCCAGATTTAAACTGGTTTGACTGTCATTCCTCTGTGTACTGATATCTGAAATTGTAAGAAACCTTTGGGCATCTCTAGAGGACAGATTAAGATCTCCAGATATTTTCTCTCCCTTCCCAGGAAATCTGGGAATTGTAGTTCTGAGAGGGAGGGCAAAGGGTTGTGAGCAGAGAATTTTTTAAAACCTTACCAAACTGTGCCAAGGAACCTTGAAAAGAAGCAACAATAGTTAAGCTGGTAAGAAGCATATTTCAGTTTGTAGCATAGATAAGTGCCAGGTACTGAAAGTTCACCACCCTTGAATTTAATCTACCACAAACCACTAATTTCTTTAACAAGCAAGTAGCCTGTTATTATTGCTCTCTATTTACGGGGTGAGTGGTGCCTCCTATGTCAAAGGGTCTCTTCCTTCATTGCAGCTTATCTTTAAGGCAAACTCAGTTCCCAGAATAGGCTCACCACCTAGGAGAGCTGAAAAGAAAAGCTGCAGTGAATGAGGAGCCCCACTGACAAAGGGGACACCAGCATCTTCTGTCGATTTTTGATTTCTTTCATCCCCTGTCCTGTTTATTTCTATTTTACTGTTTCTTCCGGGGGTTGTATGGCAGGGGTGGGCTGGCTTCAGACATGCATTTTAATAGAACCCAAAGATCTACCAACTAGAACCTGGTACAGAATAAATGCACTTAAAATAAAACAGTTCTGAGTCCTGGCATTAGTTTTGAGTAACAGAACTGAATGGAATTCACAAACAGATCTACTAATGGTCACCACCCTAAACTTCATTGCAGCAGTAAAGTTTGGGAAGAGGGATGGGAGTCATTTCATAGTCATCGTTAAACATCTAGAAAGCCAGACACCTTGACCATCTAGGGAAAAAGCACCCCTAATTCTACCCACAACTTCTCTCATGTATTAACTCCTTCCGCTTTTTACTCACACTTCTATTTCTCTGCTCTTCCTTTGCTGTCTTCCTTGTGTTGATTCTGCAGATGGTAACACTTTGGGGCAGGAACTCACCCTCTTATCATGAAGTGTTGCTTATGTGGAAGATGCAGCATTTCACACACCGATGGTTATCAAGTTCATTTTCTGGTTCCAGCCCTCGCTTCTCTCTCCTTCCCATTTATAAGCACTAACATATGAAGAGCCCTGCTGGATCAGACCAGGCGCATGTCAAGTCCGGCATTTTCCTCACACAGTACCTAACCAACAGCCCACAAGATCCTTCCAGCAGGATGAATATAGCAGCACTCTCTTGCCAAAGTCCCTCCTCCCCTGGAGTATCCCAGCATACTGCCTCTGATGCTGGTGGTTGCACAGCTCTGTGTCTTGTGAAAGCGATTCCCACAGTTTCACTCTGTGCTGTATGAAGTCATGCACTTGGGGCATAGGAATGGATGTCATAAGTACAGGTTAGGGGACAAGTGGCTGGAGAGCAGCACTTGTGAAAGGGACCTCGGGGTGCTGGTGGACTGCAGGCTGAACATGAGCCAGCAGTGTGATGCGGTGGTCAAGAGGGCAAATGCCACTCTCGGTTGCATAGCCAGTGTGGCTTCTAGATCGAGAGAGAGATTACTGCCACTCTATATGACTCTGGTAGGGCCCCAAGGTTGGTGGCTGGTTTGCAGGGAAAGCCGCATGAGGCGAGGCTGAGGGAATTGGGTCTTTTCAGCCTGAAGAAGAGGAGACTCAGAGGGGATCTGTTGGTGACATACAGGTACGTGAGGGGATGCCACACGGAGGTGGGTAGAGACCTGTTCTCTCCGGCAGAGGAAGGCAGGACGTGCTCCAACGGAGCAAAGCTCAGGGAACTAAGGTTTTTGGATGCCAGGAAGTACTTCCTGACAGTTAGGGCCCCGAGGGTATGGAATGGGCTACCACGGGAGGTGATTGAAGCCCCATTGGTGAGGGTGTTCAAAGATAGGCTGGACAGTAGGCATGTCATGAGTGGAGCCAGCTAGAGCCAGGCATCAGACTAGATGGCCCAGGAGGCCCCTTCTGACTTGCTCTGTTTCTATCTTTCTCCATGTTTCTACTTCCTTTTATCTGTTGTGAATCTCCCACTAATCAGTTTTATGGGATGACCCAGGGTTCAACTGTCATGGGAGAGGAAGCAAAATGTCTCTGTCTCCACTTTCTCCACATCTTGCATGATCTTAAAGACTTCTGTCAAGTCTCCCCTGGCTTGTTTTTTTGTCCAAGCCAACCTTGCCTCATTGAGCAGTTCATAGAATCATAGAAGAGGAGAGTTGGAAGGGTGGTCAGCCCTTGATAGTGTTAGTTGCTCACTTCTGCACCTTTTCTAGCTCTTCAGTATCTTTTCTTTAGGTATGGTGAACAAAACTGTGCACTGTATACTAATTGCAGTTGCACCATAGATTTCTATAAGAACTGTATGACATTTTCACTTCCTTGCCTAATTATGCCTAACATGCAGTTTGCCCTTTTCACAGCAGCCGTACACTGAAGTAGCATTTTCTTTGAGTGAACCCTAAAGTCCCTTTCTTGATCAGTCACGACTAGCTTGGATCCCATCAACTTATACTTGAAGTTGGGACTTTTTGCCCCATTGTGCATTATTTTACATTTGCTTCCAGTGAACTGCTCCTTTTGGAGCACCTCACAATCCCTTCTGGCTGTTAGCCTTTTAAATACTTAGGTATCATCAGCAAACTTTACTGCTTACTCCTAATTCCAGATCTTTCACGATTAAAGTTGGAAAGCATTGGCCCTAATACAGAACCCTGTTAGACTCCACTGTTTACATCCTGCCTTTGGGATAAATTACTATTTATTCCTACTTGTTGCTTTCCCTTACTTAACTGATCTGTAAAAGGAACTCCCGTCTTATTCCATGGCTGCCAAGCTTGCTCAGGAGACCTTAGGGAGGACTTCGTCAAGAACTTTCTGGAAGTCCAAGTAAACAGTGTCTACTGGTTTGCCCTGTCCATGTGTTTATTCACACTCAATTCTAAAAGGTCACCAACAGGACTTACTTTGTGGGTGCCATTTTGATTCTTTTTCAGCAGAGCTTGTCCTGGTATATGGTTACCAGTTCTATGCTCAATAGCTGGAACAGACAGTAAGCTCACTAGTGTGTGATTTCCTGGATCCCCACAAATTCCTTTTTTAAAAATTGGTGTTACATTGGCCATTGCCACCAAAAATATGTAATATTACATATTTTTGTAAGGCAGTCAGCAGTTTCATGCTCAAGTTCTTTAAGAACTCTAGGATGGATCTCATTCAAAGCTGGTGGTTTGTTACTTTTTGATTTGTCAATGGGGTGGAGAGCTTCCTCTTCTCCACTGACACCTTCCTCTAGGACAGTGACAGCGAACCTTTTAGAGACCAAGTGCCCAAACTGCAACCCAAAACCCACTTATTTATCGCAAAGTGCCAACACTACAATAAAACCTGAAAACTGAGGTTTTAGTTTAGAAAAAACACCTCACAGCCAGTCCAAGCAAATATATATATATATCCTTGGCAGCACACTGACCGGCCATGTGAAAGTTCGAACAAGTCACGGCTAATGAGTTGTGGTGTGTGATGTCATCGCCTGGCACCGCTACTCCTTTCTGAGCATGTGCATGGCCCCTGTGTGCGCTGTTATCCAATGCTCAGCTGCTGGGGCAATCCTGGGGCGACTTGGCTCACGTGCCGACAGAGAGGGCTCTGCGTGCCTGCTGTGGCACGTGTGCCATAGGTTTGCCACCACTGCTCTAGGATAAAAATCCTAAAAGGCATGGGAACAGGCCAGCTGAATGGCCATTTCCCCCCATTTGAATCCAGCAGAGCCTTAATATCTGACTCGGAGGCCCACTCCAATGGTTTCTGACCAGATGAAGAGATGCAGGTGATCCCTGGAAGAGGGCCTTTTGGGTAGTGAGTCCCAGCTGTAAACCCCTTTCCCAGACACCAGGTGTGGGGTCTCTCTGTGTGTATGGGGGCCCTGTGCCAGCATTGTGCTGGCCCCACCCGCTTGCTGTGCAGCCCCTAGCAGGTTGGCTTGGGCCAGTTTGGGCCCCATGCTGAAAAGGCTTAGTGATAAAGAAAGCGACACTGCTTCCGTAAGTGTTCAGTGAGCAGCCAGCTCTGTCCCCTGCCAGGTGAACCCAGAATCCTCTACTGCAAGGCAGGAGGTGCTTCCAGCACCTCCTCAGTTTGAACTTGGTGTGTGCTCACTTGCGGAGTCAGAAACAGCACCTTGCACAGGGAGTGCAGGCAGGCCCTCTGACTCAGCAAATTCTCTGTGCACAGAGTAAAATGATATCCCATCAGCCTGCACAGTATGGCAGAAGCCATTGGAGCCATTTTGCAAAATAAGACGTTCTTTGGCAGGAGGCTTGGGGTAGAAGCCCACCCCACTCAACTCAAGTGCTCGGGGCAATGGTGAAGTAGGAGCCGGGATTGGCGACTGTTCTCGGAAGCAACATGGCTGGAGAAGGGTGTCATCTCCCCGGTCGGATATCAAGATGTCCCATAATTCCCCCTAATGACAGAAAGACTCCTGGATCAAACAGTGGTGGTTCATCCGCAGGAGTGCCGATGTTCTCCTGGACTCCTGTGGCTTCAGCTAAGTTCTCCTCTATGAATGGAAGGAGCTAGGACTACGCAAGGGTGATATGGGCATGACATGTATACCGCCCAAGAGCCAAGGCTCGCCGCCACCTGCTAACCATTCTGGAGCACGGGAAATGGTTAAGCCCACAGAGCTATGCTGGTGGATGGAGGTTCAAGGGGAAGGCTGCAGTTCAAGACAGTGGAACGTGAGAGTAATGAAAGAGATGCTCATACTTCAACGCTAACATCCAGTCAGATTTATTTGGCCTGAAGAACTTCTGGACTCAGTTCAGAAGAAAAAGAACAACTGGAGGCAGGCTGTCCTCAAGAGATCCCAGCTGAGGGAGGCACGGTGTACAGAAAAGCCTTCGTATGTTTGCCCGTGTTAAACAGTAGCACCCAGTTATTTGCTAAATTTAAGACAGTTTAAAAAACCCACCAGCTTCTTTGGGTATGTATCAACAACTCAAAATATGCAAACACAGAAACAGAGTTCAGGGAATTTGCCCATTAGATACGGAATAGTGTTTTCCACGTTTAAAGTCGGTTGCAAAATACAGTAGTGTTGGAGTGAGAAAGACGAGAAAGGAACAAGACCCACATGCGTGGAGGAACTGCGTGCGTATGCATGCCTGTGCACATGTAGAACAAGAATAGACATGTCTGCTCAGAAGTAAGATCTCTTGAGTTCCATGGGTTTACTCCCAGTTAGGAAAGGACAGGGCAGCCTGGAACCACAAAACCTGATGGACAGTCTTTCCCACCCACAAGCCACCATCGTCCTACGATCCAGATCTGAGGCCAACCTCTGACTGTCACCTCTGAGGGAGGCACGGTTGGAGGCAATGAGGAGAACGGCCTTTTCAGTGGCAGCTCCGTTATGGAACAGGATCCCCACTGAGGCCTGCCAGGAGCCGACATCAGTATCTTTTCAGTGCCAGGTTAAGACTGTCCTCTATGATGGGGTGTTCACTTAATTTTATATATTGGGGTACTAGAAGAACTGTTTAACAGGCCTTGGGACTCATTTTGAGTAAGTTATTGCAGCCTTTAAAATTTGATTTTAAACTTGGCTTTTAAATCTTGTACCTTATCTTTATTATGTTTTATTGTTACTGCATTTTTATTGTATTCTACCTGTAGTTGTGAACCACCCAGAAAGCTTCAGCGACTGGGCAGTATAATATCATTAATAATAATCATATCCCAAAGGAACTCTTCAGAGCCACAATGAACCAAAGGGTGATGGGACAACAACCTCTCACTTGCATTATGTTTTCTGTTTTTCATGCATGGCATATGTGGCTTTGAGTCTGTCTTTCCTTTACCACTTTGAGTATATTTTGAAATTCTTGTATCAAAGCCATCCACTTTTAAGACACAAATAGAATCTGGATAATCATGTGGACTTTTCTTGCAATGAAGGAAATAGCAACATGTATTTTAAGATGTTTTAGTAACTGCTAGAGACTTCTTTTGGAAGGCTGAAAGTAAATATTTTAAGGGGCTGAAGGGTCATAGAATAGTGGGAATATTCCCTTCTGAGACTTGGGGCAGAAGTTGGCACAGGAGAGCTGCTCCCCCGCACCCTCACAGCCATGCTTCCAAAGTCAGGAAAGCAAGCTTGGAGATGGGGAAAAGGGACTGTTTTAATGGGTGGGGAGGAGAGGAGACTGGAGAGGCCGGGATACCAGCTACCTGGAGGCCTCTCCAGCCTCCTTTCCTCCCCTTTCAAAGTGCTGTTGATGGATTAGCAAAAACAAACAAACAAACAAACAAACAAAAAAAGATAATTGAGGGCAATAGTTGCTTAATAGTCCTGAATTTACATTAACATTCTTGAATGGAATTTTTTTATCCCCCCTCTCCCAAAAAAAGGTGCATTTTGTTTCACTGGACTGAAATGTAAGGAAAGAAACTGATTTTCCAAACTCAGTATTTTGTGAAGATCTGTTTTCAGAGTCATTAACGTGAAAGGTATCCTTGTTGGCAAAACTGCTTAGCAGTAAGAGCATGCAGGAGAAGCAGCAAACAAAAGTATTGCTGAATCAGATCATCTAATCTGATTCGTTTAATCCTATATGTATATCATGCGTGCTGCTGAAAAGTGCAGACAGATGTTGATGGCATTCCTGCAAGCCTACTTTTTTTAATTGCAAAGTATGTCTGCATGGGTTGGCCTTGTGGCACACAAAAATATACTGCAGTTGGCATTTTCCAGCAGTGTACAGGGATATGCATAGCAGGTGGGAAAGGCTTTTGGTGGGTATCGTGTGGCCCTCCAGATGATGAGAGATAAGGGGCGTTGCTCCAGCCTGGGGTGTGGCTGCTGGGCAAACATCTGGAGGACCACAAATGGCTTATTCCTGCTGGGTGTGGACATCGCCAAACCACCCATTCCAAGACACAAAAGCAACAAAACAGAAAGAGAGGAGAAGAGAGAGAAGAGAAGGACTTTGCTTTGGGATGACTGTTCTCCATAAACATTCTCCGTTTGGCCTGTCTCCCTCATTGACACACTGCTGTCATCAGGATAAGGCAGGGTGGGTTAAGGCTCTCCCAAAACATGCTGATGGAAAGAAGTAGTTACCACACTTTGGGTGACTCATAGGAAAAGCAAACCACAGACAGCCAGGAAGTGAGCCCAATGCATTGTTGCTACAGTAAGTGGATACACATGGAAAGCTCAGTAAGAGTGACTAACTGGAAGAAAGGCAGAATAAGGAAACGGGTTCGGGGAGGGGCTGAACAGGAAACGGCATGAAGCATAAATGGCCAAAGAGGCTAAGAACTTGCAAGGAAAGGCTTGCAGTGAATGAAAGTCCAGGGGAAATAAAATGATGAGGAATTACAAAAGGCAAAGAAGATGCAAAGGAAGAATTATAAGGCCAGGTTCAGCTCCAGGTTTTTAGGAGCCTCACATGGAATATGAACTGTCGGGTTTCTGCTGTGTGACCTGGACAGGTCTCATGCCAAGTGGAAGTATGACCCAGAATCCCATGCAAGCACTTGGGGCATCGTCTTATTAAGCAGCTAAAATGGTTTGTGGCTTGGCATCAGCTCTGGTTAGAACTTGAGCAGAACGTGGACAAGGGTAACCATTTTACCTATGGATGACTTTTACCACAGTAAAAGGACAAAGGGTTTTCTGGCACCTCAAATGCACCACAAGGCTCTGTTGTTTTTTCTCTAACAGGTTAGATGACTACCCTCTGGATTTCTTCTTCAAATCATGCTTTGCATGCTAAATGACTCGGAAAGCCGGTTGTCAGAGCCAACCCAGGTGCTGAAAAGAAACTAACTCATGCTGAACTCTCTCACCCACTGAGATAGCTCCATTGCCTGCATCTTCCTCTCATATGGTGAGAAGAACGTCACTATGTGTTTGGTGGAGCTGAATACTAAAAAGTGTCATAAAGTAATAATAAAGGAACAAAGCTGGAGGAATAAAGGGTCCACAGGTGATGGAAGGGAAGGAAGATGGTCTTTTCCAAACACGTTTCTAGTTTTCACCCATCCCAGTAACCCTTGCCACTCATACTGGTTTTGTATTATGTGAGATAGCAGGTAGGCACAAAATGACGAGTGTATTAACAGGGACTTTTTAAAGTAAACATGCCGCGGTGGCCGTGGGGCTGGGGAAGAGCTGCTGGACAGAGTTTGCTGGGTGAAATATGCCGCTGCATAGACATTTGCTTCCTGGGGAGCAGGATTACAGAAAGCAGGAGAGCCAGAAGCCCAGCATGGCCAGAGCCACGGTCAGGGAGATGTGGGCAGAAGGCACCGCGGCAGCTGAGTTGCAGAAGTCGCCTTTGCAACAGTCGTAGGTGGTGATGTAGCTGATTCCCAAGAAGGATGCGGTGTCGTTCTTGTTGCACTTGTCCTCATCGATGCAGTTTTTCTTCTTGATCAACTTGCTGCCAGCTACAGAAAAGAAGACGAAGATTATGGCGAAGGTGGTTGCATCGAAAGCATCCCCCACCCCCCCGGCCCAAGGGGCTATTAGCCCACATAAAAAGTCAGCTGGAAGCTGGAGCTGCTGGTGGTTGGTGAGTGCTGGGGCCTGGAGGCTCAGCCAGTCCCTCGGGTGCTTGAATAGGCTCTGGTAGAGGGAAGCTACGGCTGGCAAGACAAGGGTCATGTCCAGGCAAAGGTGATGCTGGGTGAATGAGCGTGCAGCAAAGCCAGATCACTAGCACCTGGGACAGCACTCTGCTGCAACTGTTAGTCTGAGGTGGTTCCTCAAAGAAGCAGCTGTGGGGCTTGGCAGCTGCTGGGGCTTTAAGTAGGGCCCTCAGGAGCTCCACCTCCTGTGAGTCACTCCCTGCAGATCTAAAGGGTTTGTGCTCATTTCTCAGTGGCTCTGCAGCAGAAGAACCAGAGGGGCCTTGGGAGAACCAGGCTTGGCTGCTGATGGGTTCCCGGGGGTCTTGTTGGAGTGATCAGCATCCCACTGGGCTCTCCCTTTGCGGGTGATGACAGGCCTCCTGACCAAGGGCCAGGGCAGGTGCAGCCATCCTTTCTCTTTCTCCCTGAAAACTTTATACAGTTCTGTGCATGATAATGTGTGTTCCTTTGCAAGCAATTTCCCTACTATAACACATGTTAAGCATTTTAGTGTACACTTACCCTGGCATATCCACATTGCTAAAAACTGGTAAAGGCCATTGCAAAATTGGGAGAGTACAACTTTTGAAGGGTTAATGAATTTTGGTGCCTGCATTGGTTTCAACAGGGAAAATGAAGTGGATTCAATGCAGACCAAGGGGCAAGCCTATCGCCAGTGTGAGAGCCAGTGTGGTGTAGTGGTTAAGAGCACAGGACTGGGACTCAGGCGATCTGGGTTCTAGTCCCCGCTCAGCCATGGAGCCAACTGGGTGGCTTTGGGCCAGTCACAGACTCTCAGCCCAACCTACCTCACAGGGTTGTTGTTGTGGGGATAAGATGGAGGAGGAGATGTAAGCTGCCTTGAGCCCTTTGTAGGAAAAAGGCAGGATATAAATAGAAAAATTAAATTAAATTAAATTTAAATTAAATCGCATGCCTCAGAGGGACATGCCCCTCAGAATCTGGCTTGTGTGCATCCAATAGTTGGAGCAAGGGGTGGTGGAGCTGATTTCTGTCACCTTCACGCCTTGCCCCATGTGCTTTATCTAGGCAGCCTCCTTCCCTCCCTGCCCCTCAACCTGCCCTCTGATTTCTGCTCTTGGGGGCGCAGCTGGTACGGTCCTTTCTGTGTTGACTGTGTATGTGTGGGAGGCTTGACCACTGGAGACTGAGTGCCAAGAACAGAGGGTCTCATTGCTGGGTCTCTGAAGAATCCCATTTCCCCCCAGAAGATGTCTGGAAACCAAAGGATTTTGCCCCAGGTGAATTAATTTCTGCCCTCTTTCTAGTTGCAGCTCTGATTTCTGACCACCACCAGGTTATTTCTGTAAACAGTAATCTGAAGATTATAATTATTGGGTGGAGTTTGTGTTTGTCTAGGTGAATTTTGTTCGATATCCTTAGCTTAGCTTCACATAGTCCAGTTCCCCATGTTTCTAGTTATTATTATTACATCTTACTTCGGTACTGCCCATAGTCAAACCTCTTTAAGTCACCCATCCAGGTTTCAACCTGGCCTGACCCTGCTTCGCTTCCAAGATTAGTCAGGATCAGACACTTCCCAGGAAAGAAGAGGTGACTATTCATTCAGTTTGAGGTCATATTTACTGCTTTTAGCTTCTTTGATTTTTTAAGGGATATATTTATTGTTCTCAGTTTTATTGTAAGCCACCTCAAGGCTGCTGTCAATAAGGTATAGAAACATAGAAACAGAGCAAGTCAGAAGGGGTCTCCTGGGCCATCTAGTCTGACCCCCGGCTCCAGCCGGCTCCACTCACGACATGCCCACCATATGCATGTCCAGTCTATCCTTGAACACCCTCACTGATGGGGCCTCAATGACTGTATGAACTGTCACAACAAACAAGAATGTCATTATAGTGCAAAACAAACAGCGGATAATAGGAATGATTTTCTTTTTCACAGAGTCCCCAAAGGAGGATATTCCCCCCACCCCATTCATGTGTGGAATGAACTCCCCAGAGAGGCTTACCTGGCACCTACATTGTGCTCTTGCTGGTACCAGGTGCAGGTGTTATTTTCCCAAGATTTTTAATTTTTCAGGCTCTCTGAAAAACTCTCTCTTAAATCCTACACTATATATTAAATCTTTGTACTGCTACTAGGTCTTTGTTGGCTTTTCTATTTTATACTGTAGTTTTAAGCCTTTTTAATTCATACAGTATATTTAATGTTATATTTGAATGGTTGTGAACTACCCAGAGAGCTTTGGAAATTGGGAAGTATAGAAAAGTGTTAAAGATTTAAAAAATTAAAAGGGCAGGATTGAGTTTTACCTCAAAGATATAGCATTTTAGTACAGAAGCCATTTTAACAACATCCCATCCAGGATACTAGAAACTAGCTGGCTCACATGGATGGCCCTTTCCCACAAAAAAATGTGGTGTTCTAAAAGATCTTCAGCTTCCAGATACAAGATGGATGAACAGTTTCACAAGTTGGAGGCATTTTACAGATTTTGGTTTTGAGTCTAATTTCTTCCACACGTAAGGCACTGCTTTCCCTCAGGCCTGGGGAAGGGATGGAGAAAGAGGTGCGGCCATCTTACCTGCTCTTCCTCGGACAATAGCGCAGACCTGTCCAGCTTCGCAGGTGACAGTGGAAGTGTGGCAGGGGATGTCAAAAAAAGTGAAGGAGCATTTCAAGCACTGGAGAGCAGATCCTGAAGCACAAGGAAAGATTTTATTTAAGGTGAGGATATAATTGGTTACACCTTCTGTGGGTCACTGGGAAGAGGACACAAAGGCAGCTTAAGTAGCTCAGAGGGTCTTTTGAAGGAATGGGGGAGATCTTTTCCTTATAGCCTGATCTCTCTGGATCCTTAGAAACATGGAAAGCTGCCCTATACCATAGAATCATGAAGCAGAAGAGTTGGAAGTGGCCAGAAGGCCATCGGATGCAACCCCCTGCTAGTGAAGGGCACCAAGATACATCCTTCCAGTCAGGAGACTGTCCAGATGCTTTTTGAATGTCTCCAGAAGGGAGAGCCCACAACTTCCCCAGGTAATAGGTTCCATTGTTGTACTGCTCCGACAGCGAGGAAATTCTTCCTGGTGTCTAGTCTAAAGCTGGTTTCTTTTCACTTAAGGCTCTTATTCTGTGTCCTGCACTCTGGAATAGAATGAGAAGAGATCCTGTCCTCCCTCTTTGTGACATCCTTTGAGGTACTCATAGAGGGATATCACATCTTCCCCTCAGTCTTCTCTTCTGGAAGCTGAACAGGCCCAGTTCTCCCAATCTTTCCTCATAGATTACTTGCCCGTGTTGCTTGTCTCTCTCACAGTCAGACAACGAACAAGACCTTTTTTTTGTCCTCAATACCATGGAGGGTGTCAGAGGTGGTGCTGCCTGGAGGGCCCGTGGCTGGGAAGGCTGAAACGGCTCTGCCACCCAACCCCTCCCAACCACTCACAGGTTGAGCTGAACAATCCTGACCTCAGCAGTGCTAGTTCACCACTAGCTCAGAGCCAGGAGAATCCCAGAAATGCAAGCTACGTATTAGCTTAGGGGTTGAAGTAGCACCCGTCTGCCTGTGCTCCCTTCCTGAAAGACAAGGTCCAAATGCCCGCAGGCAGCGCTGTTTAGCAGTTAGGCAACTGCAGGAGAGAAAACCTCATTGCTGGTCAGAAATTCTCGCTCTGCACTGCACTAGGAGAAAATATTTATTAAAAGGGGAGTAAGGGACTGCTCTTTAGAAGGCCAGATCCTGAAGATGAAACTCAAATACTTTGGCCACCTAAGGAGAAGGAAGGACTCCCTGGAGAAGAGCCTAATGCTGGGAGCAACAGATGGCAAGAGAAGAAGGGGACAGCAGAGGAGGAGGTGGCTGGATGGAGTCACTGAAGCAGTTGGTGTGAGCTTGGGTGGACTCCGGGGGATGGTGGAGGACAGGAAGGCCTGGAGGAATGTTGTCCATGGAGTCGTGATGGGTCGGACATGACTTCGCGACTAACAACAACAAAGGGAAGCGAAGTAAAAGGTGCTTAGGATACCAAATAAAGCCATACCATAAATCTATCTACCCTGCTCTGTATTCAGAGAAGGAAATTACTCTCACCTAGAGGGACTGTCCAATTCTGCACACTGAGAAAGGCACCAGGGTCCAGAGCGTGTCTCGATTAGTGACAAAGAATCCACCAATAAGGCCCCAGTGGGTTCCCATCTCTCTGCCCAGGGATTGAAAAGGGTTAGGCCCCCTGCCATAGTGTGTCTGAGGATATTCCTGTGACAGCTTCTAAGTCAGACTCGCTTGTTTATCTGAACAGCCTGCACACCACCCTGTGAAGGAACGTCCCCCCGCCACCAGTTCCGCCATGCTTGATCTGGCATCCCTCTGGACTGGGCATGACGGCATTGGGAAGGTCCTGACCAAGGACACAGCCATGGGCGCTGAGGCTGCATTGCTCCTGTGTTCGCCGCTTCCATAAAGGAAGCCCCGGCCTTGAGTTTAGCAGAGCTCAGCAGGGCAGGCACTCCCTCATGGGGTCACCATAAGCCAGAGATAACTTGACAGTAGACGACACACGCAAACTCCCTGCTTGCAACTTCAGTCCTGAGTGGGGGCAAGTTCCAGGAGAACACGCCTCATCCGAGGGGCCCGAGCACAGCCGCCCTGGAGATTTGCCGCATCGGCATTGCAAGTCTGAGTAGCGTCAAGAGAGCTGGCGTTCCCATAAGGTGAGCTCCACTTGAGTAGCTCTCCAAAACGAAACCTCTCGTTTCAGCCGAGCCTCAGTTTTCTCTTTGCCGCTCCCTCGCAGTGCTAATTCCCTGAGCGAGGCACCCTCCGCGGGCCCCTCTCACTGAGCCGACGTTGCTGCCAGCTGCTCCTGCCCCTCATCCCCCCGTCTCATTGCGCGCATCGGCCGGCTTGCTCGCTGGGCAGAGCTCCAGGGGCCTGTGCGTGTGCCGCCGCTCCTTCTCAGCTCAGTGCCACCGCTATATCGGGCAGAGCGAGGGGCAGGCAAACAAGCGGATTTCTATGGGGAGGGGAACAACATTGCTGCGGGGGTGGGGGAGCTCTTGTCAGGGCACTGTTTAAAATAATGCAAGGTAAGGAAAATGCGCAGAGGGAGACATTTTTCTCCCTCTCCCAGAACATTTGAACCCGGGGTCATCCCATGGAGCAGATTGGTGGGAGGTTTAGGACAGATCAAAGGAAATGCCTTCACGCTGAGTATGCTTGGACTTTGGAATTCGCTCCATGGGAAGCGGTGATGGCCCCCGATTTGGAAGGCTTTAAAAAGGGGTTGGAGAGGTTCATGAGGGAAGAGCCTCTCGGTGGCTTCTGGCCTTGCTGGTCGTGTGCTCCCTCCTTCACCAGAGGCAGCTTGCCTGGCTGAGGAGCCTGCAGAGATGGAGGCCTCGCCCCCTCCTGCTTGAGGGGGCCTGGGGGCAGCTGCTTTGCCTCCATGTGTGCCCAGTGCTGGACTGGATGGGCCTTTGGTCTGATCCAGCATGGCTTTTACTTATGTTCTTAAAGGGTGAGGGCCCTTAGCAGGTGCCTACCCACAGCTGTCCTGCAATCCGACCCTACACACACACAAACACACACACCATCTGAAAGCACCCCAGGTTACAGGGCAAGGGAGCATATCCTGGCAACACTTTGAAACATGACAGATCAGGTGTTGCATGTTTACTCAAGGGAAAAAAGACCTGCAACTGCCAGCATACTGGGAGTCCGAGGACCTTTTTCCTGTTGGAACTCCTACAGAATTGCCCCCCTTATTGTGTTGCAGGTATTGATGGGCCAAAGTCCTCTGAATGGGAGGCATGAGGTGTTGGCTTCCGCTGGGAGGAGTGGGGTCGAGTGGCCGTGAAAGACAGAAAGGTAGATACATAGAAGGAAAGCAATAGCCTTTTTACAGTAGCAAAAATGGGTGCTAACAGTCCTCCTGGTTTTGCTGTGTGTGCGTATGTGCGCACGCATGTGTGTGCACACGCACGTGTGTTTGTGTATGTATAGATGTGCATATCTATATACTGAAAACACTTTCTGCATCTGCAAAATACCACAATAAATCTAATCACCTCCATGCTGCCACAAGTCTCAGCAGCCTAAAATGTTACGTCCCGCTTTTAGCCACACGTCAGCGGCTGGCGACTCTGGAGAGATGCCGACTGCCTGACCCTTGGGAGGAACACCGCTGACCCCAATCGCCAGCTATGGCCACCTGGGTCCCATGCCGGGCAAAGGGGCCCAGATAGCTGTGGGTAGTTCAGTCCCTGCAAGATGCCACTGGAGAGACTGAGGCAATGTTGCTCTGGAGTATTGCTATGTCGGATCCCCCAGGGGCACTGTGGAGGGATTAGCATGGCACCAGCGGCCCTACTGGACAGAGAGATGGCTCATCGTCCTCGCAGAAAGGATCCTCCTTCCCTACCGTGCCCAGGGCAGGAGATGCCACGGGGCTACCCATGTCAGGGGTCCTCAGGAGAGGCAGCCACGGACCTGTCCCTGCAAGGGCGGGCGGAGCTGTGTCAGAGGCAGAGGCCGGGCAACTGCCTGGCTCCAGAGGGTGCCACCATTTTGAGAAGTGCGTGAGCAGGGCTTGCTCTCAAGAAAAGGGGCTCCTCTCTGCCTCCCCCTGGAATATGTCCGTTTTTCCTGACTCTTGAGGCAACAACGTGCTTTACCATTTGCCTGCCAAACTGGCCTTCTTACTGTACTTCTGTCTGTGCTGCCTGCCAAAGAGACGCATCCGGTAAGAGCAGGACAGGCAGACATTTTTCTTTGTTGCTGCCAGCGTGAAGCAGAGGAAGAGGGCCCACCGCACCACATGGGAATATTGAAGGCCCTGCTAAACTTGGTGTCGGCCCTGCACGTTAGCTCACCTTTCTGGGACTTCAAGCTGTCACCTTCTTAGCAAAGTTCAATCCCCAAAGGCATAATATCAGACTCCCCAGGGCCCTGCAGAACGAGCCAATCTCCTGCCAACCCTCTTGGATCTCCCATCTCCGCTGAACTGCTCAGCCTAGAGAGCTCACTGAGGAAAACTGCTGGCTTCTCCAGTTTTGCTTCTCTGTTTCAGATACTCACTGCATATGAATATTTATTTCACTGTTTTTATAGCATGTCCTTCTTCTACTTCTGAAATATAGGGCAGCTAGCACCACAAACCCCAAGTCGACCATCACATAAGTATGATTAAATTTTCACTTAAAATAACAATGCATTAACATGCAATAAGATCAAGGATGGATAAAACTGTCACTTTGGGTTTCTTTCAGTTTTTCATTTTTCCAGTCTTAAATTCAGTTCCTCTCAGACTCTGCGAATTTTTTTAAAGCTCACATGAAAATTCATATACATCTTGAGCATATTTGTCTCATACATGCATTTTATGCAAATTTGCCTAATATGTACACTTTTGCAAGTTATTTTATTAATATAGTGCATCTGTGAACATTACTTTCATCAATAGATGTGTTTTGTGTGCTTATTTCATAGAAACATAGAAACATAGCGAGTCAGAAGGGGTCTCCTGGGCCATCTAGTCTGACCTCAAGCACCAGCCGGCTCATTTCCATAACACATGCATTTTTGTATGCATTTCTTGATTGGAGATTGCATTGCAAAATTTGGAAAAGTATGAATTTTGAAAGATAACTCAGCATTAGTTTCCACAATGACACAAATGTGCAAAATTAGCAAACAAA